TAAAAAATGTAGAAGGCAAACTGAATACATTAACTATAACTTTATAATTTCACTTCAGAGTTGAATAACAAAATGCTGGCATCATCAAATATTTCATCATGTAACTTAAATAACTTAATAATGTACAAACTTTCAAAAATTATTTATAGTCTGTTAGAAATGGAATAAAACTTTATACCAGAAAGGTGTATTGTAAATTGTACCATCTGTTTATTAACATCTACAATGAGTATTGTAAATTTTACAATCTATACTGTGAGATCTTCAATCTGTATTGTAAATTGTACCTTCTGTTTTGTAAAAATTACAATCAGTATTGTAATCTGTACAGTCTATTCAGTACCAGTAAATTATATCATATATATAGTTTCATTTTACAAAACAGTTTGTAGATGTTATTTAATGAATTGTAAAATTTATCACGTTTTACCTTACAGATAGTACAAATTTTCTATGCTGATTGTAGATAATATTATAATCAAATTGTACAATTTATAATATTACTGAATGAATTGAACCACTGTAAATCGTACTATCCGTTCAATAACATCTAAAATCTGTATTGTAAATTGTACAATCTGTTTAGTAATATCTACAGTCAGAATTGTAAATTTAACAATCCATTTTGTAATATATATATATACAATCTGTATTATAAATTTTACAATCTGTATATAGTAATATCTACAATAAGCATTGTAAATTAGTACAAAGTAATCGACCCTTTCTCTCTCATCTTTATTTTTTTGCATATTTAAAATCCCTGTATATAAAGGAAACGAAAACAATTGTCGTATGTACTTGAGATGTGTTATGTCTATATACTTTTCGCGTAAAAACTTGGTCGCGCACATGCGTGCCAAAGAAGCGTGACCACAATACGAAAGTGCTTCTCGATTTAAGGCTGCTGCAAGCAGGGGGTTATCATGGTAACGCTGTCCGCGCGATGTCAGTGCAAGCGAGGAAAAATCGATACAACCCTCATTTGATATGCCATGTACTGAGGGCACATACTCTATATATCTATACTGACTTTCTCCTTTAGCATACCAATAATATGAATGACATTTTGCCTATTACGTATATATATATGATTCACAAACTTCGTCTGACATATTCTCCCTCATCTCAACAATTCCAACTGTTAATCATATTGTATAATCTCCAACTAAACTAAAATCTACTTTCAAATACTTGACTTAGTTTCTTAAAACTCGATTTTATAATTCACTAATTCTAATCTTATTTGAAAAAATATATACATTCCTCCTTCCTTTCTGATAAATTCCTAGTTCAAAGTATAAAATATGGCAGAATAATTGAGACAATATAATAGAGAAGACATTATTTTAAACACGAATAATCGCGAGTTTAATGAATAAAGATGAACGCTTGAGTACTCTTCATGTGCGTCTAGACGGTCGCTATAATCAAATGCAGAGCTTAAACGAGTAAATGTGCACGAACCACTCATGTGATAATAAGCCTTCCAGTGATTTACCCCGAGAGAGATCAATAATGTGATTTTCCATAGAACCTTGAATCATGATGAAACTGCAAACATATATATATATATATATATTTAAGAGTTCCCTAAGCCCTTAAGCATGATTGGTATATGTTTAGTATATATATATATATATATAAAGGTATGTAGACTAAACACCGTCAAAGTATCATATTCTCCCCGCAGAGTTCATACACATAAAAGCATATACGTCCCTAATGAGAGCACAAGCCACTTGAAGCAAAGTCTTACACTTTCCTCTCCTTTTTGAATACACCTTCGTTCTCAAGCGGAAAGAAAAAAAATCTCAAAGTTTATTGACCGATAAAGATTATCTCATTAGAAATAAATTACTTTATAAATTCTAATTAGGATTTAAAGATAAACGTTGAAAAAAATATGTATCTAATTAACATTGGTAAATATTAATGTCGATCCATAAGGAAATGACTGAAGGGTACGAACAGTTCCGCTTTATTTGAATCTATAGATAGTAGTTCTTCAAGAGGAATCGATGGTAGAACTAGGCCATTTCCTTTCTTTCTCCCTTGAAAATTTTCGACTAGTTTTTGTCATCGCAACTTTTTTTCATAAAAGGATATGTTTCAATTAAGAAAATTTCCAACAACGATGAGATCATTTAAAGTTATTATGATGATGATGATTTAGTCAAGGTCACTAGGACACAACGGACAAATGCAATAAAGCTTCAATTGCAAAATCTTGTCATTAAATTTAATCATCCTGCTTGATTGCACATTCAACTTCTAGATTCCAAAAATGAGAAAAAATTAGACGACTTCCGTAATACAAGAATTGTTAACAGAAAAAAAACAACTAACTAAAGATGTCGAAGATATATTTGTTAAAATTGTATTAATATAAGAGGTGATAACGGTTTATATACATTAAGTGATTATATAAGCAACAAAAAACGCCAAACTTAAAATAAGAATGATGCAATATGATTATTATTTGAGTATATATGTATGAACAGGTTTTACGCTTATGATACTCGACTGCTCGTAAAAATATATACTAACAATAACCATGCAAAGTAAAAATATGCAAACGAAAAAAAAAAATTCATACACCCGATAAGAACAGAAAAACCGGTTAGAAGAGCATTTGGTTTAAGTACTTTTGCCACCTTTTTTTATTTTGTCCTCATTTGTAAGACTTTTAGCTTTTAATACCTTAAGAATCACTGCGCAAAAACGATTACTAATAATTCGTGACATAAGTACATCTAATCTTTTAAATCACTTTTACAAATTCTTTAAATGAAGTGTTTAACCACTGTATAGTTGAAAATTATATATTTACCTACAATTTTAATTACAAAAGTTTATCATTTCAATTAAATAAGATACAAAGTAAATTGATATCAATTATAAAATAGCTCACAAAATTAGTTCACACGTGTAATTAATGTGCGAATTATCCAAGCGAATAAACAACTCAAGAGAGTAGAAACTATCGATTCAATTACATTAATTCAGCTCATTCAGAGATGGCTTTGTATATATATATAGTACATCCTCCGCAAAATCAAGTTCATCGAAAAGATAATACTCTTTTTTTTAATGACCCCTTCCGATATATATATATATATATATATATATATATATATATATATATATATATATAAATAATCGAGTAGGTGTCAGGGAATTCTACGCAATGAGAAACAAAACAATAACCGCATTTCCTCAATGAATGAAAAAACACAAGCTCTCTAGCGGAAACATGAAGGGGTAATATAAATTCAGCCAACCAGTGAAAAAATTTCACTTGGTCACTGTGAATTATTTTTTAATTAGCAACACCATAATTATTTACTAAATCACACATAGCAGTTCGTCATACCTTTGTGCACATTTCCAAAAAAAAAAAGGTGAAATTTTGACATATAAAGAATGTCTGATCGAAGCTTGCGGAAACGGAAATGCCACCCACGTTATGTCAATCAGGCTTCCTTCCGTGATACCAAGAAGTAACTGACTGAGTTAAAGAATCTATGAGACGTGACGGCCTTGCGGTATACATAATATCGTTCCGGATCACAAAACTGACTTTTGCACATAGGGTTCACGAATCATTATCCTTATTTATCATAGCGACCGTTAAGCATGCGAAACAATACAAAAATTCCACATCAAACCATTTAAAAAAAAAAAACAAAAAGGATCCACAAATATCCTATACGAAGAGAATATCGATTGCAAAACACGGAACTAAATAAATTATTCCATGAAACTTAAGGGTCAACGCCTTCGTCATTAATGTCCTGCGAGTAAAGTTTTATTTTATTATTCTTATCATCATATCGAAATAATAATTACGAGAAACAGTATGCCGTAAAAAATTTTATTTACAACCTTTTTTTTATATGTATATTTTTTTAAATGCTAATTCGACACGCAAGTTTATATACCTCTTAATCGAACATGCGACAACAGAGAAAGTACAAGTGACTCTATAGAAAAACTGGATTGAAATTGAAGAAGTATAAATATAAAAGGGGGAAAAGAACAATTTGCACCGTTATATTTTTGCACACATAGTTCAAGTTCAACAAATGAATTGAATCTCGTAATAAGGTCGAGTTAACCGTACAAGGTTGAGAGAGTATCACAAAAACTCATTTACAGTTATGCAAGATGAATTGCGTGTGAGTATAAATAAACTTTGATAAAATTTCTTCCTCAAACGAAACAAAAAAAAAAATAAATAAATGAAATTTTGTAATGATATAATTAGTATACTTTTAATTTTATAAATTAGGGGAGAAATTTTTTTTTTATAACATATAGGTAAATTTATCAAGCTAGTTTTCCTTCTTCTATATATTCCTCTAACGGAAGTGCAAGCGCGCGAGAGTGTTTTAGAGAGAAGGAGATCCTGTTACTTCTAAAGATAATCTTGGACTCAATTAATGTTGAAAATACGTTATGGTCTGTAAGCAGATACAGTATTATCTTTTTAAGTCAAGTCATCAACTATATACCAGGATCTTTCCTACAAGATAGAAAATGTGACAATACGGCGTAAATTAACACAAAACAATATGTTTTCTGCCACGCGAAACAAATTTTTTTTTTTTCATCATTATATGATGTTACATATGCGAAAAATGCAATATAATAAAAGCAACTTGAAGGTAATACTTTTAAATTCATTTAAGAATTCAGTGTAACTATTTTTAAAGTAGAAATGAAAAAAACATTTGTTACGAGGAGAGAAATGTAAAGAAGAAAATTACTCTTAAGTAAAAAATCGTGTTTGATGCGGTTTTACATTAAAATAATTACTTTTCCCGTACAGTACATTGGGAATTTTAAGTATGCTCCTTTGCTTTCTATTTTATTTCTTATTCTCATTTATTTGCAATTATTGAAGGACAATTATCACAAACATTCCTTTATAAGTTTCAGTTTTTATTACTGTATTAAAAATAGATAGAAATAATTATTTTAAATTTTTGTTACAGATGGCAAGACATATTCAAACGGCCCTTGTATTATCTATCTCTACTCTCCTACTGTCTGTGTCAGCGGACAGTTCTGTTCACACAATGTCCAAGTATCATCAACTGATCACGTCAACAACCCTAAATTGGCTACCTCATATACATTATACTGCCACAAATGAAGAGATTGTTATTGGCAGTTTTGAAGGTTAGTAAACTACACACACTCTAAATCTGAATAAGTGAAAATTTTACTAAATTCAAATCAGTGGCTCAGTTTTCTTTAATTCACCAGTGAAATTTCACTATATAGGAATCAATAAAAACCACTGATTCTCAGTGAAATTCCACTGGTGAATTAAAGAAAACTGAGTCACTGATTTGAATTCATTGAAATTTTCACTGATTTAGATTTAGAGTGCATAAAAATACATAGAGAACCCTGAAACATTAGTTTTACTAATTTTCACAATAATTATTGTAATTAGTACAATCCATTCAGCAGAATTTATAAACTGTATTGTAAATATTACCAACTATATATTACAATCTACAATAAGCATTGTAAATTTTACAATCTATACTGCAACCACTTCAATCTGTATTGTAAATTGTACCGTCTGTTTTGTAAAAATTACAATCAGCGTTGTATACTATATACAGTCCATTCAGTAACATTTACAATTTGAATTGTAAATTATATAATTTGTATTGTAAGATTAAGAGTCTGATTGTAACTTATTGCATCATTTGTATCGTGGCAGATGTTTCTAATTGTATTGTACAATTTACAACGCTGATTGTCGATTTTACTATACAGATGTTTTAAATTAAAAAACAGTTTGCAGATATTACTGAATCGATTGTAAGCATTACAATGCTGATTGTAGACGTTACTATACAGATAGTGCAATTTAAAATACAGATTGTAAATGTTACTGAATGTATTCTACCATTTACAATAATGATTAAAAATATTTCTATACAGATAGTACAATTTACAATACAAATTGTAGATGTTACTAAACATATAATTTACTAAAGAGATTATACATATTATTAATCGAATTGTCAAATTTACAATGCTGATTGTAGATATTACTATACAGATTGTACATACTACCTTACGAAACAAAAACTCAGTTAACTAAGTTTAACGTTATGGGCGACAATCACTCAACAGGATAGGCGAAAATCTACCTTAACGACAAACTGAGTTAACTAAGTTTTTGTTTTGTACGGCAGTACTGAATGGATTGTTAAATTTACAATGCTGATTGTAGATATTACCATCAGATTGTTCAATTTTTATTATTACTGAATGAATTGTACCACTGGAAACCGTACAGACCATTCAATAATATTAAAATCTGTATTGTAAATTGTACAATCTGTATAGTAATATGTACAATCTGTATAGTAATATCTACAATCAGAATTGTGAATTTTACAATCAATTTCGTAATATATACAATCTACATGGTAAATTCTACAATCTGTATAGTACTGTATAGTACTACAATCAGAATTGTAAACTTAATCTGTGTTATAATATATGCAATCTGTATTGTAAACTGTACAATCTGTATTGTAAATTTTATAATCTGTATTATAAATTTTACAATCTGTATAGTAATATCTACAATAAGCATTTTAAATTGTACCATCGATATAGTAACATTTACAATCTTTATTCTATATAGTGCTAATTACATTGGAATACATACGCAATACATCTATAATTCTCCATATGAAAACTTATTCAATTTAGTCATTCATTAGATATAACTCATCATCAAAAAGAGAACCTGTTACCCAATGACTTTGAATAAAATGAAAACAACAATCAATCAAAGAGAATTCTCACGATTGAAACTATTCCTGTGAAAATCCTTTCTGTTTCTATTTCCCACTATATTAAGAAACAAAGTAAAGTTCTTTTCATGATGCCAGAAGTCACCGGACGTTCCACCTTTTGCACTTAGAACACGATCTGCATGAGGAAACAGAATATCTTCTCAAATATCAGCTTTTGAAGATCTAAGAAGTTTCCAGTTTAGCTTAAAAGAATTTTATTTCAATAGAAACTTATAAAAAAAAAATTTTTTTTACAATTTTAGAAACGCACCAATATTTCATAAAATCTATTACTTCAAAATTGCAGTGAATTCGCTTAAATAACATTTCATTATTTCAACTTCATTCATGATAATATAGAAAACACGTGCATCCTAAAGAACAAAAATACGACGAAAAATTGATTTTACGACATTTTCTATTATATTATTGAAAAAAATTCAAATCTCTAAATGTTTTTTCAGACTCCTCGAAAACCATATATGTGTGTAGAGCTCTACATAATGGGATTTTTGTTACCGGCAGTATGAAAGATGGTGAAAAGAATTGCTTGGTCACTTCACTGAGCAGTGTTAGATCGTATAGTAAATATGATCTTTTACAAAATATTGACAGTGCTGCACGTGTCAGTTGGGTCTATTGGGATAAATATCAAGATATTCCAGTTGGTGCAGTTTCACCCTCTAACGATGAAAACTATTTTGTTGCACGACACATTGTTGATGGAGTAAATTCTCAATATGATTCTTATGAACAAATGCATTACATTGGTACACTAAATACCAAAGATGGACTTGGCAAAATAACCTACACAAAGAAGGTAAAAACTCTTCTTTTTTTTAAAAAAATAATTTCTCAAAATTACGATTTTCGTCCTTTTTAAAAACATTCAAGGATTAAAAAAATATCAACTTTTAAAAGTTTGAGTGTAAAATAATGATGATGATAAGAGACATGAGACATCAAAGGGGATTAAAGTGAGACCTTCCATTCGCCACCCACTTTTCCTCCCTTGGTCTCTCTCTTTCTCTTTACCTTGAAATATACGAGATGAAAACGTGTAATTTATTAAAATACTAAAACGATCGACATTTTCATGTCCTTGCACTATCCTTCTCAAGGCTACATTAAAATTAAATTAAATAAAAACAAAGATTTTTATAATACTTCTAAAAACTATATAATTTATTGTATTTATTTTTAATATTTTTTTTTTCAAACTTTATTTCTCATTCTAGAACTCGACCTATTTATTCTATTTTCCTTTTTTTTTTCTAGGATGGTACTGAAGGATCGACAGAAAGTGGACAGATTCTTGTGGAAACTGAGCCATTTCGTTATGAATTAAATTCCGTGAAATTGAATTTTATTAAAAAACGAGAGAAGAAAAGGGAGAGAAGAATACTGGGACAAGCAACCCTCAGTAATACAGGCACAGAATCAGGAAAAGTGGCAGAAGCATTCACGTATGAGTACAATTATACTCAGTACTGGGGTCAGGGTCACGCTATTCTCAAAGGCCTCAATACTTCAGTAACACTTCAAAATAAAACAAAATTACCTGACATTGTTTGGGGAATTCCCGAAAGTAAAGTTCAAATTGATGTTAAAACGTGAGTAACTATAATAATTACAACTATTATATTAATTAAGTCAATTAATTTATTAATCATATTAATTTATTATATTATTTAATAATTAGTTTTCAATTATTAATTTCATAATCTGCCTAGATTTAAAAATATTTAAAAATACATAAAAATTAATGAAATACTTTAAAGATATAAAGAAAAGAAATTATTACATAAAGTCAATGTAAAATGTAAGGAATCCTACTTTACCGACTTGGTAATATTTATGGGGCATTCTACGTAACGCGGACCACCCCAATCTTGATTTATTTTTCTTTACATTTAAATATTACAATTTTATTTAAAAAAATCCATTAAACGAAGGAGAATAAGTTACAATTTGTTATACAAAATCTAAAAAAATTTAAGCTAAGATATTTTTAATGGTCAAAATAGATAAAAAATTGTTTTACAATTTTTGAACTTAAAATTAATCGGGGCAATTATTTAGTAAATAATCACTAAATCATTAGTGAGAATTTTCATTTTTCGAATTAACATTTGTCAGAATTTTCTTTTTTAAAGAATTTTTAGATAATTTTTATTTGGTAGAATTCTTATAAAGCGCCGAATTTTTATTTGTCCGAAATTGCAAATGCCCGAACAAACAATCGATTTCGGCGCGATTTTTAAAATCCACCAATCACGATTTTCTTTGACAATCATTTGATTGGTGAATTTTAAACATCGCGCCAAAATCGATTGTTTGTTCGGCGATTTGCAATTTCGGATAAATAAAAATTCGGCGTTTTATAAGAATTCTACCAAATAAAAATTACCTAAAAATTCTTTAAAAAAGGAAATTCCGACAAATGTTAATTAAAAAAATGAAAATTCGGCTAAAAATTAATTATATCTAATAAAATTGTTGAAAATGAAAATTCTCAGTAATGATTTTTATGGGATTAATCATACCCCAAATTAATTTAATCTTTAAAATTAATACCATATGATGTCAAATGGAATTAAATTTACTACAAAATCTATACACCTATTTTTTCCGTTTAATGGATTTTTAACAAAATTGTAATATTTAAAAGTAATATTCAGAAACAATAACCAAGATCAAAATTGTCCAGAATGCTCCTTATTCTAAAATCGATTTTCGCCAAATTTTCATTGAATTAAAAATAATTAAAAAATAGTGAATAATTCGATTAATTTTTATTTTCTAATTAATTCAACAGTGTGGAATATCTATTGGAACCAGGAACTGGCGTTAATGTAACACTACTTGGAAATTATACAGACTTGGAAGTGCCATATATGGCAAAATTAGTTGCAATTTATGATGATAGTACGGAAAAAATTCGTTCAATAAGCGGAGTACGTCAAGAAGAAACAATGCTTGATGTTAGGCCATTATTTAGTCCTGTATTCTTTTTAAATAACAATAGTTTTGTTCCTACAACATTACCACCACCAACGACAACAACTACAACAACAACGACGACAACCACAACAACAACAACAACCACTACAACAACAACAATTGGTCCCGAATCAATAATAATGACAAAAGACATGCCCAATATAGAAAGTTCCAATTCAGAAATGGAAGACGAAAATAAAATAATACCAAGAAAAAATGATGGTACAAATATGCAAAACGATGACGGAGGACCACTATCGTTAAAAAATAAAATTGACAGCAATAATTCAATGTCAAATATCTGTCTACCAAATCTTTTAACGATAACGATAACAATTATTATTTCACACATTAGAATTACGTGAAGAAACTAAAAAAAAATTTTTTTTTTCTCATTTAACCTTCTAGAATGCATAAATTTACAATAGACCTATAATATATAGCATCGTAGAGTATTGTCAAATGAGAGAGAAAAAAAGAAATCTATATTATATCGCTGTACTTTCATCTGATGTAAGCGATAAAAAAAAAAAAAAAAAAAAACTATATGACAAACTCTTTTGGCTATGTTTGGTATTCAAACATAAGCTTGCCTTTTTTCAAAATAAAAGAAGAAAAGAATCCTTGATATTTAAAAAACACAGAAAAAAAAACTAAATATAGTTGTAAATTTAGCGTAGAGAAAGATCTATAAAAAAAAACAAAGAGCTAGTCTCAAGAGTATTAAGTACAAGCGTCATCAGCAAAAAAAAAGAAAGTCTACAGGATTTCAAAAGAAAAAATATAAAATCGTTACATTCCGTCTTGTACTAATCTATATTAAAAAAAAAATATGACGGTTCTAATGCCTTCTTCGTCAAGTCCTCCGGTCTAGAGAAAAAAAAAAAAAAAGAAAATTTTCTTCAAAATATATAACCAAATACCTTCTAATTGCCTTCCTTGAAGGGAGCCTAATAAAGCACAAAAAGTTACAACTATTTCAGATAATGCTTTTTTTTTCCAAAAAAGAGAAAAACATTTTCTACTTCTTTTGGCGGAGACCGAAAAAGAAAACAAAAAAAAAATAAGATTCGTATTATATAATTATAGCTACGCTATATTTTTGAGAATGCAGTATAATTTTAGAAGTTTGTAAGGTTTGTAAAAGTAGAATGTAAGCGACTTGTAGGGCTATAGGGCTTGTGAATTTTTTTAGATGACGAATGACAGTGCCGGCGCTAATAAATTTTTGATAAAAGTGCGCGCGATATTTGTTATTAATTTTCGGTATTATGTTACTTTAACAAAGTTAAAGAAAAATAAAAAAAAAACAAAAAAAAAAAAAAATAGAGGGAAAAAAAGAAGTTAAGATATTTTTGAGGTATTGTCGTCGATAAAGCGAAAGGCACTGATATGTATATACAATGTGACTGAAAGAGTCTTATTAATAGGTGTATTAAATTGTTAATATATAATTATTTAATGATTTATCGTTTTTTTTTTTTACACAGAGTGTAGATTAAAAAAAAGTTGTAATTTTTCTTATTATGTTTCTCTCCTATACAAAATATGTTGTATTGTGTTTTTGACTTCCTCGAGAGCAAAGTAGGAAATATTATTGCGTTTATTGTATTAAGTTTATCATTAAAAAAAAATTATTATAAGGATAACATTCCAATAAGTACCATTTTATCATGGAAAAAAAAAAACTACGTGATGCCTTACGAAAAGACATTGCTGCTTTATATCAACTTTTAGCTTATATATGTATAGAAAGAAACCAGAAAAAAAATAAATTGTGAAGCTAAAAAAAATTTAACGATGAGGAAAAGAAGTGAAGAATTATCGACGTATTAATAGGAGTAAGGTTTCTAAATATTTTTCATATCATTTTACGTATGAGAATTTATTAATTATTATTATATTATTATTAATCGGATCATCGTTTAAGATTCGTTTCCTCTTAATCAATATAAGGGCGAATACTTTGCAAAGAAGCAATGGAAATATTTAAAAAAAAAAAAAGGAAAGAAAACTACCTCTGAACAAAAAAAATAAAATAAAATAAAAAGATGATAAGAAGATGAAGAAGCGATTCTTTTTGCAGCTTTACCGAAGAATTATTAAAATATTGTTCACAAAATGTATATCCAAAGCATCTCTACAACTCTGTAATATAAAATACAAAGACGAAAAAATAAATATTACAATAGCACACTTCTGCTTTTTCAAAACCAGAAATAAAATTGTTTTTATCAATAATTCGAACCACAAAAAAAAAATTTTCTATTTAAAAAAGAAAGAAGAATTTTATTTTCACCTGAAACGACATCTAATAATTTATTCAACTAAAACGACCTTAATTTTAATTAGACTAACAAAATATGAAATTTATATACATCCCTTTATAGACGATATGCAAAACTTAATTGCATTATTTATTTTAATTTATTTGACATTTGAGAATTATTCACCACTATAACAAATTTAATTGAAATTTATTTCACATTTGTAAATAATTATTCATTCCAGACGACCTCAATTTTCAAATCTATATTATATGTTTAATATAACGCTTAATAATCGGTTCTATTTGCTAATTGGATTTTTTAAAAATTACTAATTAAAAGGTTAAATAAATTAATTAAAAAGTTAAACTTTAAATGATTTAAAGACATTTATTTTAAATAAAAAAAAAGAAAAAATTTTCAAATATATGACTAAAATTCCTATAAAACGTTATATGAACAAAATTTTTTCTGCAAAATGTAATTTTAAAAAAAATTAATAAGAGAAAATTTTTTTTCTCTATTTTACTTGCTTATTACATTTTTAAAAACAATTTAATACATAAAAATAAATTTAATTAAAATTTTATTTATAAATTTTTTCATTTAACTCAATTTTTATTTGACAAAATTGATACGTAACGAAATTTTTGTTTTAACGAATTAATTTATAATAATTCATTAAATAAATAAATAATAGGTGATAAACAATAATAATAATAAAAATAATAATAATAATAAAAATAAACTTTATTTATTAAAATTATTAATTATTGTTTAACGACCAAATTTTGAGAATTAGCAAAATTTCTATTTTATCGAAATTCGTGTATTTAATCGAATTTTTTTAGATAAAATTTCCACTAAACGAAATTTTTGTTTTAACAAATTTATTTATAATAATAGATGATAAAAAAAATAATAATAATAAATAATAAAAATAAACTTTATTTATTAAAAACATTATTAATTATTGTTTAACGACAAAATTTTGAGAATTAGCAAAATTTCTATTTTATCGAATTTCGTGAATTTTTAACCGAATTTTTATTTGATAAAATTTCCACTAAACGAAATTTTTGTTTTAACGAATTAATTTATATTAATAGATGATAAACAATTATAATAATAATAATAAACTTTATTTATTAAGAAAATTATTAATTATTGTTTAACGACCAAATTTTGAGAATTAGCAAAATTTCTATTTTATCGAATTTCGTGAATTTTTAACCGAATTTTTATTTGATAAAATTTTCACTTAACGAAATTTTTGTTTTAACGAATTAATTTATAATAATAGATGATAAACAATTATAATAATAATAATAATAATAATAATAAACTTTATTTATTAAAATTTTTGTTGAACCAAATTTTGATTTAGTGAATTTTTAATCGAATTTTTATTTGATAAAATTTCCATTTAACGAAATTTTTGTTGTAACGAATTAATTTATAATAATAGATTATAAATAATAATAATAATAATAATAATAAATAAAAATAAACTTTAATTATTAAAATTTTTGTTGAACTAAATTTTGATTTAGTAAAATTTTTATTTTTGGAGAATCTAACATTGAAATTCAGTCAAATTGAAATGAACATTAATTAAAAACCAACTATTCAATGAATATTAAAATAGAAATAAATATAAATTAAATTAAATAAAAATTCTTTTTAATAAATATTCGATTAAGTCAAATTCTTTTTAATGAAAATTTCACATTAAAAAATTCAAGAAAACATATATTTACAGTGTGCAAAGAATTTTGTTCATAAAATGTTTTGAATTTCAGGTATATAATTTTTTTTTTGTTCATTTCAAAAATATTTCCAACAAAATTTTATGAAAATTCATATTAGCTTACCCAGTACACCATATTGTTGAGGAGTAAGTCGCACATCTCCATCTGGTCCACCAGGTATTGATGAAATAAGAGAAGCTCTATCGCTAATATGACTTCGTGTACTGGCTTCACTTCTTCTCGCCCATGAAACTTGTGAAACTGCATCTATAAAAATAACAAGAAATTTTAATACTGTTTGATAATTTAAAGCTAATTATTATTTTTAAATTGAAACTTTAATTATTTATTTTTCTAAAAGCATTTGAAAACTAGACTTTTTTTTATTTTAATAACAAAAAATAATTAATTTTTTATGTGATTTTAATAAAGAAAATTCTCAATTTAAAATCAAATTTACTTTAAAAATTAATAAATTTAAATTAAGTTTTAAATTAATTACTTTCAAATTTACAAATCCAAATTATAAGAAAAAAAAAAAACAAAATGTAACTAATATTTTTTTTACAATAACAAAAAAAAATTTCGCAACTGTTTTTTAGTAAACGAAAAAGTGTTATTTTAATTTACAATTTACTAAATTATAAATTTTCAGATTTGAGCGAAATTAATCAGAATTAGAATATTAAAATGTTAAATATTGGAAAAGGAAAATTAAATTTCCATTTTTCGTTGATAAATAATAAAAAAAAGCTGCGAATTTTTTTTATTTAAATCAACGGAATTAAAAAAATAATAGTAAATTACCAAAATTAGAAGCCTTCGAATTCATAAATCTATGTCTAGCATCTCTGATACTTTTACGTGATGAAGGCAAGGGGTGTCTTCTCCTTCTTTTCAAAAATTGTGCCAAACTTCCCAATAATAACGTTCCACCAGTAAAACAAATAATTAATATCTGAAAAAAATTAAATTCATTTAATAAAACATGCTTCGTGTTTACAATTTTTTTTTAATTATATATAAATATTGATATTTCAAATCATGTCAACTTGTAAAAAGAACATATTTAATAATAAGAAATTAAAAAATTTTTTACCAAATAATTATATAGCAAAAATTGTAATGTAATGTTAAATAATTTTTTACTTATATAAGAGATGTTTTTTTTTCTGAAAGATATAACCTAAAAATACTTTATAGGTTATACCTACCTTTTGTGTTTTCGAGAGATTAAACGATGGCATTGAAATCAAATAATGAGAATACAATTTTCCCAATACTTCATTTGCTTTGAAGAGTGACATTATTAAAAAAAAAGAATATTTTTTTAGTCTGTTTCCAAAAAGAAAAAAAATTATTGGAAAATAAAAAAAGAGACTAAATAATTTGATTACACCCTCTCATCTTCAATCACAACTGATATGATCACAACACACACTAATACAACTTTCCGCTGAATAAGGAACGAGCGGGAATTATGTTCCGAATTCCAAAAATACCGCGGGAACTAAATAAACCAATCGCGTACGTTTATTGTGACGATTTTTTCGCGCGTAAATAATCAAAACAAAAAAAAAAGTGATAAATAAAAATAATGGCCAGGGGTAGGGAGAATATGGATAAAATTTTAATTTGCTTTCTGTAATATTAAAAATATTTTTTCTAATTATTTAATTATAGAGTATTTTAATAATTTATTATAGTTTTAAATTAATTTTTTAATATTTGAAATGCAATTTCAAAAAATTGCAATTTCAAAAATTTTGGTTTTTAAATATAAATAATTTTTAAATAATATAAACAATTTAATGACACAAATATAAAATATAATATCGATGTGGTAAAAGGTGAAAAATTCACATAGTGACAGTGGATGAAATTCTATTAGAAGACAATAAAATTAACTTCTAATAGAATAAAAAATAAATCAGTACCTTGTTACAAAACCTGTAAGAATAAGATTAATAACCCTGCTCTAAATTTTTTAAATTATATAAATTTTATACTTTTTTTATGAACAATTTTTTATATTATTTAATTTTTTAAATTGAATATTCGAATAAAAAATTAATAAATGAGAGGTTTAAAAAAAACAATTTCTTTATGACAAATAATTTTTAAAATAAATTATTTTCTTGGGTATTGAAATGAAATTATATATAAAACGATTGAAGTAAATTTAAAAAACATTAATAATAAATAAATTAATAATAAAAAATCATTAATAATAAATAAATAAATTAATTGATTGATTAATTAATTTTCATCCATTGATATATGAAAAATATATACAAATCGTATAAATTATTAATATAATAAGTAAAATAATAAAATAATAAATTCAATAAGTAAAATTTTTTATATTATCAATAGACATTTTTTGCTTTAATAAAAAATTAAATTTTTTATTTACTTCATTGAGTAAAAAAAAATTAATTTAAAATTTACAATTTTCGCGAGCCAAGAAAATTTATACATCCTAATCTAAAAAAAAAAAAATAATTATGAAAAATAAACAACAAAAATCCACTTGTTAATTAAATAGATTAAATATTTAATTTTGCAATTTAAATTAAATGTTAATCGATTTAATTAACCGTCACTAAGGAAATTTTCTAAATTATTACAACCTGTCTACGCCACATCAATTTTTGAGACAGGAGGGACTTACTATTTGCTGACTCTAAAATGAAAAGGATTGTTGTAGCTCTGCTTTATCTCTGGACGATGAATATTATTCCTATCCTTTCTGTCCTTCCTTCCTTCTTTTTCTTTCTTCTTTTCTTCTTTTAAATTTTGAAGCACAACATTTTCACTAAATTTTAATTATTTTTTTTTAAACACGCACTGACTCAATATTGTTAAATTACTTAAATATTTGATATCACAAATTTTAAATCACACAACACTTACACTAAATTTTATTTGGATATTTTTAAACACGCACTGATTCTATATTATTAAATTATTTAAATGTTCGGTAGTTACAAATTACAATTATTTTTCAAAAATTAACGAAAATCCTTCTTTTATAATGATTAGAGCATTTTTAAAATTAAAATAAATAATTAATATCTTAATACGTTTAGAATTAGACTGGGGTTATCCATAAAGCATATGATACTTCAGGGGAGCTAGGGGGGGGAGAGGGTGTCAGCAAAATATCACGGCTATATGCTGAAAAAAATGGGAAAAATATCGCGATTTCCAAAAATATGTATCACCTGCTTTGTGGACGACTCCAATTCAATAGTTGATTTTAATTATAACTTTGCACAATATTATACAATTTCAATTAAATTTAATTTAATCACTGTTAACTTGAAGACATCAAATTAAATCCGTAAAGCGGATCAAAACGTTGCATCTTAATTTGATACCTTCAAGTTAACTGTGATTTAATTTAATTTAATGTAATTTAATTTAAATTTTAATTTAATAGAAATTTTTCATATATTATACTTTTATACCCGAAAAGCTATAATATAAGAAAAAAAAACCTCTAATATTTTTTTTGCAATCGTTATTTCAAGTAAATTTTAAACTTAATGATAAATATTAAATTTTTCCAAAAAAAAATTTAACGAAACTAATTACTAATAAATTGTAACGTCTACCCGCAATACTGAATATTTAGAAAATATTAGAATTATTGTTTTTTTATAAATTTGCAAATAAAAAATTAAATACATCAATTTATCACAACGATTTTAAAAACACGCACTGACTCAAAACAAAATTTCATAACGATTTAAAAAAACACGCACAGACTCGAAACATTATACATATTATTTTTTTTAGATTTTATTCACAAAATTTGTTTGAATAATTTTTTACTTCTTCTTTTGTCTAACGTCTGGCTCTAAAAATTAGAAATAAACAAATTATTAATTAAGAATAATTAATTCTTTAAATAAAATAGAATATTTAATAAATTATTAATTAACAATTTTAATTATTTAAATAAAATAGAATATTCAATAAATTAAAGTAAAGCAAGGTAAAATTTTAATTTAATCAATATTTAATTGAAATAATTTTTTATTTATATTTAATAATTTCATTGTGAGAATAAAAATTATGCGCATTAAATTCTAAAAAAAAATTCTATAATAGATTTTAGCTTACCATAATATTAAATTCCCTCCATCAATATAATATAATAATAATTTATTTCTGCCTATTTGGCCCAGAAACGAACTTGGTTTATATTTATCTTTTATTTAAATTCCCTCCATCAAATTATCCTGCTTTTTAAACTGATTGTTGACAGGATTTTTATTTTTGACTTTGTTGACCATCAAAGGAGAAAACTGAAAAATAAAATTTAATTGTAATTATAAACATAATATTAATTATACTGTATAAAAATTCGTAAAAAAAATATTAATGACCAATAATTAAACTAATTAAAAACTAACACCCAGGTTTTGTCTCAAGACCCAAATAATTATTATTTATTCCAAATAAAAAAGTTACTTGTTTTAAACAAATTTTTTTTTTATCTTAAATAAATGTAAATAAAATATTTTATACAAGAAAATATTTTTTTTTGTTAAGACAAACGTTTGTAAGAGAATATGATAATTTTCGTAAAGTTTACAATAGAACAAATATAAAAAAAATATATTATAATAATAATAATTACAATATATATAAAATTACATTACTTTAGAATAGATGGAAAAACTAAATTTTGTATAAAACCTATTATCTTTCTATTCGCTTGAATTTATTTCAATTTGCATATTTTTATTCAACATAACCTCAAATTGTATTTTTAAAATAAAACAAAGATTTTCGAAATATAAAAAAGACATTTTTTAAATTTAATCTATAAATTAATTTAATTATCAAATTTAATCGAGATCGTTGGTAGTTTTTTTTTTAGGAAAAAAACAAAAATAAAAATAATACTATTTTAAATCTCAAATATATTAAATTATAAATTTATTATATTTAATAAATTATATTATAAATTGGTATAGAAACATATATTTCGAAAATTATTTTATAAAATTAATAAACACTCACAATTTTAATTTATTTCCTCAAAAGAAAAAAACCAACGCCGGGCAGAAGATAGTCTTCAAGTTATTTATCTCCGGAGATCCCTCCTCTAGGTTAGAATCCCCAAAAAAAAAATTTCGGAAATAAACCTTTACAAGGAGACCGGGTTCAAATAACTCAAATTTCTCTTCTTGCTACCGGAAGCTGACTTTTCTGCAAAAATTATGATAAAGCGAATCTTGCTTTTTAGTGGCCATCAACGGAGCTGAAACATAAAAAATGAATAATTTAATTAGCAGTAGTTTAACCTAAAAAAAAATTAAGAATCAAAATAAATTTTTCATCCTATGAACCAGTTATACAAATTGCAACTTTATGCCAAGAACGTTAATATTTTTAACGAGAATCCTAACCTCAAATTATTATTGCTATACATAAAACCAAAAAACAGTATTTCAATTATGAAAATTTGCGAAAAATTGTTCGAAATTTTTTACATTTGAGAACACGTTACTTATAATTATACGACAAATAATGTTTCATCCAAAAAAGAAAAAACCGCTTTGCGACAATCATATATATTTATATTTTATCAATAATTAACTAGCTAATTATAATGTTATTATAGAAAATGTGACGCCCTAAATTGAAAGAACAAATAAAAAAAAGTTTTCTCAAAAAAACTCACCATTTATACGAGAAATTAGTGAAAAACACAGGAGACGCCAAGAACACTGACAAAAATTTGCAACGAGAATCAACAGTAAGAAAAGAAATGCTCTGATTGGCTGAATGCATAAATGGCGGTTTCGTTAAAATGTTCAGTGCTGACACCTATCGTCTGTTTATGGAATTGATAATATAGTTCCCTGTATTACCATCATAAATACGTATTCTCATTGGTCATTTCAAATAGGCGGCAAAATTTAAATTATATAATTTACAGTAAAAAATATTAAAAAGATGAAAAATAATTTTTAAACAAGTAAAAAAAGACAAAATTAATTTTACATTACTAAACTGTTTAAAAACTTAAAATTGCTATTGAATAATCTAACAATAAATCCTGCGATTTTTCTAGATGATTAAATTTGAATTATAATATAACATTATAATTAATAAAATTATAATTATAAAATACATTTTGTATTTTAAATATTTACAATTAACGAAGCAAATATTTTTTAATTAATAATTACTGTATATTTAACATTTATTATTATTTAAAATTTACTGTTGAATTAATTTTTAGAAAATTTATTTATAACATTTAATATGCAAAAATGTTAATAATAATAATAATTAATAAAAAATAGTTTTTTAACGACCCTAATAATTAATAATAATAGAATTATTTTCTATTAATTTGTAATTTAGATATTTCTATGATTTTGTTAAAAAAAATACATTTTAGCGAGAAAATAAATTTTATTACATTTATATTAATTAATTAATATCATTAAAATAATTAACTAATTCATTTAAATGCACAGGCATAATGATAAAATATTTTTTATGTATATTTAACCTCAAAATTGCAAATGGAGGTTAAAAAAATTGTTTTTTTATTCATTAAAATTAACACAGCTCATTAAATAAATTTTATATTTGTTTCAATTGTTTAACATATTTTTTTTACGATCCTAACCTCAAATTTTATTTCGAAAATTATTTATTAAATTCTCACCAAAAGTAATTTCCTCCAACGAAGACGACCAACATCAGTTAGAAGATAGTCTTCAAGTCATTTTTCCACGGAGATCCCTCCTCTAGGTTAGAATCGAAAAAAATTTTTTTTTGAAAATAACTTTTATACAAGGAGACCGAGTTTTAATGACTTGAATTTCTCCTCAACTGGAAAAGTTGGATTTTCTCGCAATTGTTGATTGTTAACCAAAGGAGAGAAGCTGAAAATGAGAAATTTAATAATTAAATCACTACTCTATGTAAAAAATTTCAAAGAAAAAATGAGAGCAAAAATGACTACATTTTTAACAATGTTGTACAATGGCCGCAATCTTGAAAAATGGCATTTTTGCAAAATAATCTCAACAATTTGCAAATTTTTCACAGCAATCATAACCTATATGTATCGTCACAATAAAAAAAATTTACTTTCACTGCAAGAAACCGAAAATTATTACGATTATTTTACCTTTGGAGAAAATTACAATAAAAAAAAAAAAAAAAATTACAAAAAGAGAAATTTTACGATTTTCTTATATTTTGCCAATTATTCATCACTTGGATGCAATATTTTATTAGAAAATATGTCGATTTCGACATAATGAATGGATGAGACAAATATATTTTCAAAAAACTTACCATTTTTTGGTGATAAATGTGGAAAATAAGAACCGACGCCACAAAGTGAAAAATATTCGACAAGAAGTGAAGGGATAAATACAGGAGTACTCTGATTGGCTGAATGCATTATTTGGCGCGAATATCAAGTTCCCAGAGTCGTCATCTAGTGGCAGTTTATAGAACTCTCCCCTACATTATCGGTTAAAACTCTCATTCCTATTGGTCACCTGAAACAAGCGGGAAAAGGATTTGAATTTAAAAAAAGGTTAAATTTTAACTTGGAAATTAATAATTATAAATAATTGAATAAAATAAATAATTTATCGTAAATGATAGTAATAATTTACTATTAATGATTAATAATTCATTAATAATAATAATAATTAATAAATTAATAATGATTCATTATTAACAATAATAATTTTTATTTTATTATCAAAAGTTTTTAGTAGCAGAAAAAATTCTTTATTTCTACTATCGAAAATTTATTTAAAAATAAAAATGCGTAATAATTATTATTACATTTTTCGCATTGTATAATTTAATAAATAAATATTATGTATAAATAATATTTAATAAATAATTGATAAAAAAAAATGTTTAGTAATTATTAACATTATTTATAATTATTATTTCATTAATATTATAATTATTATATTTATAATATTATTAATAACAAAATGTTAATAAAATATTATATTATAATAAATTAATACATTATTTTTATAATTATTAAAATGTGTTTAAGTTAAAAAACAAAAGTTGTCAGAACTGTAATTTTTAATTTTATCTCAAATTAGTAATGACAACAAAGTAATAAGAAAAATTGCGTATATTATTTGTTTCTTTTGTCTTAGGTATCAACAATAATTTTAATCCGCATTTGAAAAAAAAAATTATAGCGGAATGACATTAATTTGTCTTGTCGAGAAATATAATAATATTTATATAAAGAAAATGAAAAATCGACCTTATATAATATAAGCACTTTTGTACACAATGAGGCTTGACTCAGTCGAAAATTAGTTGTTTTTTTTTGTAACATGATAAAAATTGTGTAATCTCCATCATCTCATTTACATTTACTATAAATCTGTCTGTAACAGGCGTAACTCCTTTTGTTATGAATGCACTGGGGAATGTATTCTTGGCTGTGCAGGAGATGTCATTGATCTATTTACTCTTAGCGATTGTTCACGTCGACATTCCTCCTCTTGTTTTTGTAATTGTTCTTTGAAAACTAAAAGTTCTCTCGTTCGTTGATAAACAGGATCCTATTTGAATATTTTTTTTTTTTTATTTTCATGCAATTTTATATTCTTACAATTAAAATTATGGGAATTAAAATATTCTACTTAAATATAAATAATTTTTTTTAAAATTATTATTCATTTTTTTAAATTAAATTTTTTCTTTGATTTATGTTGCAATTTATTAAATTAGAAAAATAAAATTTGTTTTTGTCACAAACCTGCTGTCGCATACTGGGATTCCATCTGCAATAGAGACTTTTCCAAAGTTTAATGTAACGCATACTGGCAACTGGCATAACCATCAATTGACAATGAGGTCCTGCCCAATAAAGTGGATTTTGATATTGCGATAATTGGCTATTAATATAAGACCACAAGGAAACAGTTTTTTCCTTTACTTTTTCTTGAACTCGTTCACGTTCACTGTAATTAAAATATAATTCTACATGAAAAATAGAATTTTAATTTCCAATAAATAAAATTTAAATTGTAATTTTTTAATTAAAATTAATTTTTATAAAATAAATACAAAAAAGTGGAAAAAAATTAAATTTTCTGTTAAAAAAAAAAAAAAAAAAACTGAAAGGATCGAGAACAGTACCTATTAAATAAAAACGTGCCAAATCTACAGGAATAGAGATGATCAAGAATTGTGATAAGAAAATGTTCATTGAATTGAAATGCATTTGGAAATTCTTGTGTTATTTGCCAGACACAATCGATAAATTGCAAAAATACTGGCGATCGATCGGCATCACTGTGATGTTCATCACCGTGTCCAATTCTCTGTAATAGAAAAATAATTGTTAAATCAATAACAATAACATTAATAACATTATAAATAATAAAAAATAAATTTAAAAAATTAGTATCGCTAACAATTGAATTTTAATTTGTAATTTTCAATTATAACATCTTACGTGTTGGAATTTATGACCAAAACTCAGCCATTCTTTTTCAATCAGCACTTCGAAGCCTTTGATCGTTCGATAATATGGATCGAGCATCAACATTGCCAAAGCCGTCAACTGCAAAAAATTGTGAATTATAAAAATTTTAATTTAATAAATATTTTTCAAAAACTTCAATACATTAGTCAATTGTTTCTTCTTTTCTAATTCGAAATATTTTTATTTAAAAAATTTTTAGTCAATTCCAAATAATATTACAAATTAAATTATTAAATTACCTATTACTATTCAATTACCTAATTATTTTATTTTTTTTATTTAATTTGAGATTATTTTAAATAGAAATAAATTAAATTACAGAATTAAATAAAAATAAATAAATAAAAAAAAATTAATTAATTAAAATAAGTCTATTATATTTAAAAAAAATTGAAAAAATTTGTTATGTTAATTATAAATTTATTATGCTAATTAAAAATTAATTTTAAACTAAAGTGGAATTATTTTCCATACCAAGATTTTATTCTTTGATTCAAAATAATTATAATATAAAACAATAAAATAATTAAATGGACATTAAAAGGACAAGTGTAAATTTAACGTTCCTGTAAAATTAAAAGAAAAAATATTTAAAAAAAAAATGAATTACCTGTAGTGATCTGTCCCAACCATCGGAACAATGAACCATCACCGAAGTCTTGTGATTCTCAACTTTTTCGACTATACGAACTGCCCCTGCGAGAATATACTTTATGTGTTTCAACCACACAGTTGATTCAATTCCAGATAACCATCTGGCCTCATCAATATTAGGGAAACACAATTCTATAAAAAAAATTTCATTATAAATTTTTTTTTTTAAATTACAAAAAAAATTCAAAATTAATAACAACAATAATATTACAATAATTGTAAATTTACAAAGGAATTAAAATAAATGTCAATTTTTAACAAAATTAAACATTTTTTTTTATAGAAAATATTTTACCAACAAAATAGAAAAAGGGATAAATAAAAAAATTAAATAATTTTAATAAATTAATAAAATAAATATTATTTTAATAAAAGAGGCGAAAAGTAAATAAAAACACGAATAAACAGAAAGACAGAAAAAAATTTTAAATAAATAAAAAAAAAAAAATAATGCAAACATTTTATATTTAAAAAAATTATAAATATTAACCTTTCAGTTTTCGGAGACTTTCCCTCATCACATGAATATTATGAATATCCAAAAAGACAAGTTCGGCATTTTGATAAGCGTCCTCACTCTCATAACCACCGCCTCTCGCTTTATTTGCAATTGCATTTGGCATTGGCCTCGCATCCAATATAAACAATTTATGACTCTGAGCGTTCGCGTCCATTATCAATTGAATATAACGTTCATCTTCGCGACTACGTTTACCACCAACGCCAACAAGTGGCTGTGCACAACGCGTCAATGTCGCTTGACTCTCAGGATGAATCCACGCCAAAACTGGTAAACGACCGCGACTTCTAAAAGCCGCCGATGCTTGTAAATCTTCATCAGTTGCAGCTGCCGGCACCGCCAATACCGCCGGATAACTATCACAAAGTGTAAAACTGTCATTGATTTTCGTTATTTTCCACATATCATTATTCACTCCCTGCAAAAAAAAAATAATTTTTTTAAAATTTAGTAAAATTAATTTTTTACTAAATTTTAGTAAAAAAATTATTACCATTCGTTTAAGTTCGGCGATTGGTTCATAAACATGCCATCCATTTTCCGGAAATGTTTCCGAATATTCAAATGCAAATAATGGCATTTTTTTTGAAACAGGAAACGAATATTGTTGTAATTTTTCAAAAACATTTCGCCGTGAATGATTCTCTTGCTTATGGGCAAACCTTAAATTACGCATATCCTTGCAAAAAATTTCAATTCCATAGGAATTTTCACCACGGCTCGATGCACCGCCAACTTTTTCAATTCGACTAACAACTCCCAATGGCATTTCAATAATGTAAGGCGGTTCACGATCGGTACTACGAAAATGAAGTCTATAATTTGTAACACTGAGACATCCACGCGCTGGACCAGAATATGGACAAATATAAGTCACTTCACGTGCACCACCGCGCATTCTTTCACCATTTAAAAGCGGTGGTCCTGCCTCAACAGTCGTCAAATTCTAATAAAACAATTTAATAATAAATATTATAATTATAAAAAATATAAATAATAATAAATTCAATAACATAATACTTTTTATTAATAATAATTATATTAATTTTAATAATATTAATTATAATATTAATAATAGTTATATTATAATAATATTATTAATAATTATATGAATTGTAGTAATTTTCAAAATTACATTCGCTAATTAGAAAGATTTCGAAACAATATTGCAAATGTCAAATATAATTAATTTGTAAGAAAGAAACGAATATACAAGCCTCGGATCGACTTTAAGGTACAAAAAAAGTCGATTTATATTCCAAAAAAAGTCGAAAAAATCGATTTTTTATTTTAACAAAAATATTTTACAGATTTTTAAATAAATTTTTTTTTTAATAATACTTTTGAAATAGTTAAAGATGAAATTTTTAGAAATAATTGAATTTTAAAAGATTTTGTTAATTTTCAGACAATAATTAAATCTTACAGAACTAAAAATAATTCATCAAATAATTTCAGATAACATTTTTTAAATGTAATTGAATTTTCAAAGATTTGCAATTTAAATTTTTAAAATTAATTGAACTTCAAGTGATTTTTAATTAAAATTTTTTGATGATATTTATTGAATTTTAATTGATTTTGAATTTAAATTTTCTGGTAATAATTGAATTTTATTTGATTTTAAATTGAAAATTTGGAAAATAATTGAATTTTAAAAGATTTTGAATTGAAAATTTTGAAAATAATTAAATTTTCTTTGATTTTGAATTGAAATTTTGGGTAATAATTGAATTTTAGTTGATTTTGAATTGAAATTTTTGAAAATAATTAAATTTTATTTGATTTTGAATTAAAAATTTTTGGTAATTTTATTTGATATTTTTTTAAAATTATAAACAATTATTAAATTTCATAAAAATTTTAATTGAAAATTAATTTAAAATAATTGAATTTGTGATGAATTTCATTAAAATTATTAAAAATAATTAATTTAGTGAAGAATTTTAGTTAAAAATTTGTTAAATAATTGAAATAAAGAAGATACAAAGAAGATCTGCATTTTATACTAAAAAAATATATATATATATTTTATTTAAAAAAATTTTTTTTAAATGTAAAAAAAAGTCGAAATAGTCGCATTTTATTAAAATAAGTCGAAAAAAGTCGTATTTTTGAAAAAAAGTCGGAAACAGTCGAAAAAGTCGTATAATCCGAGGCCTGCTAACACTTTCATAAATTAAAATTATACTTATTACTACTTTTATAGAATAAAAATAATTCAAATGAAAAATCAGACAACAAAAACAATCTATTTTACAGTAAATAAAATTCGGGAAATAAAAAAAAAAAATTCTAAAAAAAAACAAATAAAACAAATAATGTTTTTGAAATAATTTTTACCAGCTCAACTACTTCTTGACTTTCTTTTTTTGTCTCTAAAGCGGAAACAATATTATTATCAGTTGAAGTTGAGCTTGTGGAAAAGCTTTTAGAGTGAGATGCCTTTTCCCAACTCTCCTAATGTTAGCATGTAAATTACAAAACGTAAAATTAGTTTCCAAAAATTTAACCACTAATTAATATATTAGTAAATTTTTTTTTTAATTAATTTTTTTTTAAATTAGTTTTTTAAAATATTATATTGTAAACAAAAATCTTACCGATTCTTGCCCCATTTTCGAGTTTAGAGAACTACTTTTGCTGTCCGTATTGAGAGAATCTGAACTTGCATTTTTCGAATTATTCTGATCCACATTCAATAATTCAACACTCGATTTTTTCTCCATTATTATCGTCCAAAATAACAATTGTCAATTGTATTAAAATATCATTGTCTTCTCTATATATATAAATATTTATATCTGAAAACACGAATTATCAATAAAAATACAAGATAAAAATATTTTATGTCATATATATTATAAAATATTAATATTAAAAAGCAAATAGTATTTTTCTCTATTTTTTCAATTTGTGAATAATAAATACAAAAAATTAGAAATAAAACATTATTTATCAGCATTTTGTTTTTGTCAAAACATTTTCTGGGTGTGGATTAGTGAAAACTGTCAACATAACCTTAAAATTTAAAACGTCAAACTAAAATATTTTTGTACATTCTAGTATAAAATAAATAATAACAATATTTTTTTCGTATCAATAATAGAATTATTAATTTAAATATACATATATAGATATTTAAATATTTGTGAGTAGAAACATAATGTTAAATATTAATTTTAATATTGTGTCAATTAACGGTGTACAATTAACAAAAGCCACGCCCAGAAAATTAAATATATACCTCTTTATAAACAACATATATAAATTAATTTCAAGACTATTTTATCAAAATAAAACATTTACTATTTACCAAATTTAATGACAGGTTTTTAATTGTTTTTTTATAATGTAAAACATGTTTGTTAGTTACGTTACGGTATTGTCAACCATGTCAGCAATTACAGGTGTTTCCAAGTCATGACACTTGTTATTGCGCATGCGTTATCCTAATAAATTTCATTGGTTGTTTATTTAAATAATCGAATTTAAATTTCTCGAAAAATGGTGTTTTATTTTGAAAATGCAATAATTTTTTATTTTATTTTAACATAAAAATTAAGAAAGCAATAGGGAAAAATAGTTTTGTATTTGATAATTATATATAATAGTAAAAATATAAAGAAAGATTAAAATAATTTTAAATTCGCCCGGGTGTTAAGAACGTTTTAGCGCATCATTGTCACGCATGCGCAATATTAAAAATAAGGTTTTTGGAACCGTTCGATATTTTATCGAAACTATCGATATTATCGAAATTGATCAATAACCGTCGTTTAAGAAGTTTGTTTATTTTTCCATTTTTTAAGAAAAAAAAAGAAGAAAAACTTCAAATTTATTGTATCTATTGCAACTAAACAGTTTCTTTTTTTGTTTCAAATAATTATTTAATGTTATATATTATTCGTTTAGTGCTATTAAAGTAAAAACCTATCATATTTCAATTTTGAGGTTAACTGTCACTTAATCAATATTGTTTTGAAAAATATTGTAAGTAGATGCAATGTTTAGTAAATATTAAAAATAATAATAATTTTGATAAAATTGATTAATTACTGATAAATATATTAGAATATTGAAATTTTATTTATTTATACAAAATTTAAGAGCATGTAAAATGGATAAATTAAAATTTTTTTTGAGAAATGTGCCATTTTATAAATTGTCAAATTTGGAAAAATTTTAATTTCTCATAAGAAAGTAAAAATCATCCAAAGGAAAATTAAAAAATATATCATAAATTCTATTTAAAAAAAAAAAAAAACAAAAAATACAAAAAGAAGAGAAAATTAAAACAAATTGTAAGTAATTTAAATATTTAAACAATTTTATTCAGTAATTTTTAAGAATTTTACGAGTTAATAATTTTTTTAATAATGCCAATAAAATCAATAACTTAATTAAAAATTAATTTAAATTTATTTTTGTAAATAAATTTTATCTTAAGAATAATTCGCGAAATATTACATTTCATATATTGATTTTTTATTTTCTAAAACTATGGTTTTGTGTTGAAAAATAAATTTTAAATTCGTTTTTTCGATCGTTTACCCCCCTCCCCCCCAAAGTTTAACCCTTTGGAAATTCTCTCTAACACAAACCTATATACACGTGCATATGCTATGGGGGAGATTGCCCCGCCCCACCAAGCGAAAACTTAAAAATGCCGCCACGGCGCAACCGGAATCGATATTTACCGACCAGGTCACGTGGTATGTATATTCGATGAATTTCCACCAATCGAGAAACAGTTCCATGGTGTTTTGCTCCGCCTGGAAATACCCGAGTTTACCCGATGCATTGACTATCTTGGAATCTACAACACTTTGCACACACACATACACTCTAGGAACCGAGCAAGTGACGAGAACCGATCCAGTATATGCGAGAAAAAAACAGTATCGTACCTATAGCTCAAATCACCCTCCACCGAATAATAATTATTTATTTATTTATTTAAATCATTAAAAAAAATAATTATCTCCTTTTTAAGTTTTTTAATTCAATTAAAAATAGATTTTTTTTATCAATTTTTCCCACACAAATACAATTATTTACTTTTTATTTATTTAGTTTATTATTATAATTTAAAAATCGATTTTTGAATTTTGCAAATTAAAATTTTTTGTTTTAATTTAAATTTTTTGAATTTGAATTGAATTTTACCGCGCATGCGTATGTAGATGGCGCTCTTGTTGGTTCATTTCCGTTACAAGATGGCCGCCTGTCAGTTTTTATTTTTATAAACATTGTTTATTTTCATTAACAGAAAAAAAGTAAAGTAAAATAGAAGAAATATTTTATTCAGTAGAAGAAGATACGATTGAAAGAGCAAATTTTTTAATATGAATATTTTAATCGACACTGATATATTAAAAAGCGAAGAAGGAAATATAATTTGTATTCTAACCTCAAAATAATTTTCGATTGTTATAGATTGTTTATTATTAAATTATAATAAATCAAAGTAATTATTTTTAAATATCAAATGAAGAAAAAGGTAAAAATAGTAGAAATTCAAAATTTTTTTTCTGCTTACAAATTAGTAGAGGAAATTCAATTAAAATTAATAATTGAAATTTGCTGCATTCATTATTATTGGAGGAAGACTGATTGAAAAATTGTAAAATTAATGTCAAAAAAGGGACAATTTTAATTATGAATTAACAACAAAAGTACAGAATTGTTAAATTCGAAAGAAAATTTTTGAATTTTGTCCAAAATAACGATATTTGTAAAAAAAAAAAAAAACAAACAAATTAATAGCAAAGAAGGAACAATTTTAATTAACTAACAGAAAAAATTAGTTAATTGCAGAGAATTTTTTCAAGGTAATAATTCGAACTTTATTGCTCAAAATTATGATATCGAAAAAATTCTAAAATTATTTGCAAAGAAGGAACAATTTTAATTTATTATTATTATAATAATTAAACGAAAAATTAATTTATTGTAGTGAATTTTTTTAAGGTAATATTTCGAATTTTATTGCACAAAATTTAATTAAAAAAATTCCTAAAATTAATAGCGAAGAAAAAAAATTTTAATTAAATATTAATTAACTAACAGAAAAATTCCTTTTATGCAGAGAATTATTTTAAATTAGTATTTCGAATTTTATTGTCCAAAATTATATTAAAAAAAAATTCTAAAATTAATAGCAAAAAAAAAAATTATGAAATTCATTAAAAAATCGTAAAATTATTAGCAAAGATGTAAAAAATTTGTATTAAATATTAATTAACAACCAATAGAAAAATTATTTAATTGCAGAGAATGTTTTTAAGGTAAAATTTCGAATTTTATTCCCCAAAATTATATGAAAAGAATCCTAAAATTAGTAGTAAAGAAGAAATAATTTAAATTCAATATTAATTAACAACAGAAAAAATTCCTTAAATACAGAGAATTTTTGTCAAGATATTTCGAATTCCATTGTCTAAATTTATATAAAAAAAAAAAAATCCTGAAATTAATAACAAAAGCGAAACAATAGACAAATTATTTAATTTAAAAAAATATATTTTTATTTTAAATTTTACGATATTTTTGTTGATTTCAAAAAATAAAAAACGCGACTATTTTCGAAATTTAATTCTTTTCCTCTCAATAAATATATTTAAAAAAAATTCCTAAAATTAATAACAAAAAAGAAATAATTTAAATTGAATTTTAATTAACTAGCAAGAAAAATTATTTGATTGCAGAGAATTATTTCAAGATAATATTTCAAATTGGCAAAAATTATTAAATTCATTAAAAACTGGAAAATTATTAACAAAGATGTACAAATTTTTTATTAAATATTAATTAACAACTAATAGAAAAATTATTTAATTTCAGAGAATGTTTTCAAGGTAAAATTTCGAATTTTATTCCCTAAAATTAGTAGCAAGGAAGAAATAATTTAAATTAAATATTAATTAACAAGAGAAAAAATTCCTTAAATGCAGAGAATTTTTTCAAGATATTTCGAATTCCATTGTCTAAATTAAAAAAAAAAAAAATTCTGAAATTAATAACAAAAGCGAAACAATGGACAATTATTTAATTTAAAAAAAATATTTTTATTTTAAATTTTACGATATTTTTATTGATTTCAAAAACTAAAAAAACGCGACTATTTTCGAAATTTAATTCTTCTACTCTTAATAAATATTTATTAATGTTTTAGGTCCTGGTTTTTGATATCGATGCTCGCTTATCGATTGCAGTTGTTACGGTACTGGGTCTGAAGGAGCGAAAAAGAACGATGGAAACGAGTAAGCTAGCAGAGCACAGCAGCAGCAGGCAAACAGAATGTTAGTCTAGTCCGTCCGCCAGTGCACGCCAGTCCGCGACCGTAAGCGTGTTGTTCCGGATTAGTTAGCACGTCATTCTCCGTTTGCTTTTTAGTTCTAATTGAAAAATTTTAAACAAACAAAAACAAACTAGTGCTTCAAAAATTCATTCCTTTAATTTATACACAAAAACACCAAATTTCTACCAAAAAAGAGGAAAACAAGAAATTGGTATCAAAAAAGAAGTGAATGTTCTAATTTACTCCAATATCACAATTTCACAACTGTCGATGATTATCAAAAACAAATCCAATTGGCTCATTGTAAGGAGGAAAAAAATCAAAAAATTAGTGAATTAAAATTTGAAAAAGTGGAAAAAAAAATATATATATATATATGTGCATCGCTTTCGCTGGTTGAGGCGTCTTGAAAACCCGTACCCAACCCGTCGCTCAGGCAAGCAAGCAGGCGGACACGCACACTACTCACGCACTCTCGAAGCCCTCATTCCGTCTGTTCAGTTTCCTCACCCCGCCCCTTTTTTTTTTTTCACCAACTTGAAAAACTCACGATTATGAATGTCTAAAAAAAGTCATCCCCAAGAAGTATGGAAGAGGGCCAACTGATGACAGAACTTCCGGCGATAACGCCGAATCGAGGCGCAACATTGATAAATCGTTCTGGACATTGTTATCAACTTCATCGTCCTCATTTAGTACCATATAATAATAAAGAAAAAAAATCACCCGACGACGATCTTACAGAAGAGGAAGAGGAGGCCGCAAACGCGGTCACAACAAAAACGGTCGTGGCAACGACGAATCAACGTCAGGATAGCGGTGCTATCTTGATAACAACAAAAAGAACAGCGCCAACAAATTTATATACACAAATTGATAATAATGGACCATCATTAAAAAAAGCACGTATACAATTACAATCGCCAATAATAACAAGTACACATGTCTCAAATTTATATCCAGAAATATTAGCACATATATTTAGTTATCTTGATGTACGTGATCGTGGTCGTGCATCACAAGTTTGTCTATCATGGAGGGATGCAGCGTATCATCGTTCTGTATGGCGAGGGGTTGAAGCACGATTACACCTGCGACGACAAGCACCGGCTCTCTTTTCAAGTTTAGTGCGAAGGGGCATTAAGAGGGTGCAAGTGCTCTCATTGAAAAAGGGATTGGGCGAAGTATTTAAGGGTATGCCAAATTTAGAGGCACTCAATTTATCTGGTTGTTATAATGTCACGGATTCTGGTTTATTGAGTGCATTATCACAAGAATTTCCTGCATTAACTGAATTAAATTTATCATTATGTAAACAAGTGACTGATACATCAGTGAATCGAATAGCGCAATATTTGAAAAATTTAGAACATCTTGAATTAGGTGGTTGTGGTAATATTACAAATACAGGATTAATGTTAATTGCATGGGGTTTAAAAAAATTGAAAAAATTAGATTTAAGAAGCTGTTGGCATATATCGGATCAGGGAATTGCAAATCTTGCACAATTAAATATACCACTTGAACATTTAGGTTTGCAAGATTGTCAAAAATTAAGTGACGAATCATTGCGTTATGTTTCAAATGGTTTGGGTAAAACATTAAAATCAATAAATTTATCATTCTCATGTATTACTGATTCGGGTCTTAAGCATTTGGCAAAAATGAGTGAATTACAAGAACTTGATTTAAGATCGTGTGATAATATATCGGAAATTGGAATGGCATATTTGGCTGAGGGCGGTAGTAGAATATCATCATTGGACGTTTCATTTTGTGAGAAAATTGGTGATCAAGCGCTTGTTCATATTTCACAGGGTTTATTTAATTTAAAATCATTATCATTATCGGCGTGTCAAGTTAGTGATGAGGGTATATGTAAGATAGCCAAGTCACTACAGGATCTTGAGACACTTAATATTGGACAGTGTAGTAAACTAACGGACAAAGGACTGCATACGATTGCAGATAGTATGAAACATTTAAAGTGCATCGATCTGTATGGATGCACGAGGATCACGACCCACGGCCTGGAAAGAATAATGAAGCTACCACAACTCAACACGCTAAATCTAGGACTGTGGCATGTACGGTGATAGTGGTTTCCAAAAGGGGGCGACTCAAAAAAAAGAAAAAAAGGAAAAAAACAAAAAGAGAGAGAGAATGGTACGTACAATATATAGATATATAAAACTCTGCGTGCACCACGTCGCGCGCACACACGTGCGCGAACACGTGATTTTATTTCTCGCACTCTTCCTCGCGCTTTTTTTTTTTTTTTTTTTTTTCTTTCTCCTTTTTTTTCCTTTTTCCAAATCGAACTTTTATGTGCAACCACGCTCGCGAGCCCTGCAGCGTGAGTGATAGGACTTTTATTGGTCTCGACTGTCAGTCCTTTTTTTTTTTTTTTTTATGCATTTCGATCGCGGAAGGTCTTCTTTAATTCTTTAGGGGGACTCTTTGAAATAAAAAACCGAATTTTTGAAAAAAATTTCCCCCCTTTTTTTGAATTTTGTCTCTACCTTTTTTTATGTTTTCACATTATTTTTTTTTTATTTAAGCTTCAATTAAAAATGTTAATTGATTAAAATTTTAATTATTCTAAATTTTATTCAATTTTAATTGATCAAAATTTTAATTAAATAAATTAAATTTGAAAAATTAATTAAAATTTTAATCGATTCTAAATTTAATTAATTGTGTGCCTAAAAGTTCTAAACGTTCAAATAAATGAAAAAATTTGTTTAATTTTCTAAACTTAAAATTTTATTATAAAATAGTTTTTTGTATGAAATAATAAATTAATAGTTAAAATTTTTACTATCCTTTTTTTTCATTATTGTAATAATTGATAAATAATTTGTAGACCCCAAAAAAAGGAATTTATTATAACGCTCAGAACTAAGTCCCATATGTATTTAATTTGAATTTCAATATTCTTTTTGAATTTTTTTCCAAATTTTGAATTTATTCAAAATTCAAAAAAAAAAATTTATATTGATATAAATTTTTTATTTCGGTTTAAATTTTAAGCGATTTTAATTTTTATCAATAAATTTCAATTAATTCAAAATTTTATTCCAATTTATTACAAATTTCTATGATTCTAAATTTTTTATTAGTCAGAATTTTTTATTTGATTAAAATTTTAAGCGATTTTCATTTTTATTAATAAATTTTAATTAATTTCAAAATTTATTCCCATTTTTATTGATTTAAATTTTTATTAGTGAAAATTTCTAATTTTTATTCAAATTTTAAATTTATTCCAAATTTAAACTAAATTATTGATATAAATTTTTTACTTGATTGAAATTTTTGGATTTTAATTTTTAATCAATAAATTTCAATTGATTGAAAATTTTATTCTAAATTTTATTAATTTAAAAATTTTTATTCTTGAAAATTTCTACGATTTTAAATTTAATTCATCAATATTTAAATTAATATTAATTTTTAATTCATTATTAATTAAATCAACTCCAAATTCGATTCATTAAAACTTCAAATTATAAATGGAAAATATTTGAAATATTTGAAAAATTTGTAAAAATATCTATTAACCATTTTCCACAATTTTTTTGAAAAAAAATTTGAGAATGTTTGAAAATATTTAAAAAAAATTTTTGTATCTATTCTAAAAGTTCAAATAACATTTTTCAATATTATCAAAATTATATCAAAAACTTTTCCTTTGTATTTTGAAAATATTTCCAATATTTGAAATATTAAAATAATAATTGTAAAATTTAAAAACATTTGTAAAATAATAGGTACGAAATTATTTTAAAATCCTGTAAAATGCAAGTTTTACGATCTAAAATGTTTTTAATTTATAAATTACAAAATTTAATTTGTATTTTCAATTTTTAAATTCAAATTACTTCAAAAAATTAGTAAATTTTTACGCAAAAATGTTTGATTTTATTTTTTTTTTCAAATTTTATTTGTTTAATTTTCTATTGAATACAAAATTTTTAAATTCTTCGTGAATTAAATAATTTATTCATTCATTAAAAGAAAATGTGACATAATTTAAATGTTTGATGAGTAATTAATAATACATATTAGTAATATTTTAATTTCCGTTTTTAATTTAATAACTTCAATAATAATTATAATATATAAATTAATTAAAGTACTTATTGAAAATTTAAATCCATAATTTATTGTCAGTGAATTGTAAAAAAATTAATTGTAAATATTTTTAAAGCATTCTTGAAAGTATTTTAACACCAAAATATTTTCTTTCGTTTTTCCAAAATAATTTATTTTATTCCTATAATTGCTTTTTAAATTTATCTATGAAACAATAATTAATTCCAAATTAATAATTTTAATAAATGTAAAAACAATAATTAATTGTTTGATAGACGTAAAGAATTAACAATTTTTTATTCTTGTAAAAAAAGAAAAAATTTGCATTTAATAGAATATCAAACAAACAATTCCATTCACTCAGAGATTTTTTTTTTTCTTAAAATACTTATAATTGGCAAGTATTCTTCATTGAAAAATAAAAAAAAAAGAAACTATATATGTTATACATTTCTCGTTTCAAACCCGGCAATAAGTTTCAATTAGTTGAAAAAAAAATAAAACAAAAATTAAATTATGTAATACTTTTGATCAATATATATATATATACAATAGATAATAATTGTTTTGTTATTTACGAGTTTTTCTTTTTCTTATATTCAGTTGGCAAAAATTATGCATTCACAACAATAATAGTTTAAAATTTCTTGAATAGTAATTTGTTTCTTTTATTAATTTATTCATTTCAGGAAGTAAAGCTTTATAGTTAGAAAATAAAAATATCTTTTTCAAGTAATTTATCCTTTTTTTTGTTGTCGTTATTTTTTGTTTTTAAACAATAAATTTTTCGAAAATGTTTATTTTTATATATTTTTTTTATCAATTTTTTCTCATTTGATCAATTAATCAAAAATTATCATTTTTCATACTTTTTTTTTTTTTATTATTTTCAATAATATTTAGTTTTAAATAAATATTTTAGTTAATATAAAAAATAAATTCGATAATTTTTTGTGACATTTCCAAATATTCAAACTTTCTAAATTTATAAATTGCAATAGCTTACATATGTATTACAGGATTATAAAATAATTTCTAAATAACTCGCATACATGTGGAAATATTTCCAAAGTTTGTAAAATCAGAAAAATTCGAGAAAAATAAAAAAATCAGGAATAATTTGAAACTATTCAAATCTTTAAAATGCAAATTAAGTACCAAATGTAATAAAATTTTGTTCTTTCGCAAATATTGAAAAGGGCTGAAAATATAATCCTTATGAGGTGGAACATTTGAAATATTTTTGGGAAAAAATTTTTAAATTTATAGATTCTTACCTTTTAAAATTTTGTTATCTTCAGCATCGGACACAAAATTTGGATGTCATAAATGTCCTTCAATTTTACAACTCAAAAAGGAAGGGTCCCCTCTCTCTTTCTTATTCTCTGAAAAGAAATTAGTATATAAGAAGTTTGACAAAAATAAAATAATAAAATTTAGCAATCTCTTTTAGATCAATTTCTGTGCGGCAATAATTGTAAAAGTATTTTAAAAACTCAGGCAACAATTTTTTTTCTCTATACAAATTTTGTGGGTCCATTTGTAAATGTTTCGAAAGTTTTTTTTTATTTTCGATATTTAGAATTTATATTTTTTTTCTTACTTTTATTATTATTATTATTATTATTAATTATTAACTTGAAGGAAAATTTAAAAAAAACAGCAAATTTTTTTTTTATTCATTTTTGAAATAATAATAAAAATTTATTTTATTTTTTTCTTTTTACTTTGAAGCACATTTCCTTTGATATTTCCTTCTCTTTTGATATATTTTATTTAGTTGTGTATATATTATGTATATATATTTAAATTTGTTATGGTTACAGGAATTAATGTATAATTTGACAGATAAATAAGGAAGCTTAATTAGCGAAACAGAAAATTTCACATTTCGCGATATTTATAGAATTTTTTTTTTTTTTAATTTTTTAAAATTCGCATTGGGTGAACATGTCTTACGTTTGAATGTAGAACGTGTATGACCAGTTTCTCGCAATTTATGTAAACGTTGGTATAAGCAAGGCAAGACCCTCTGTCACGAGACAGCATAACGAATGCTAATCTAATTTGACCAACTTTTATATAAGTGAAATATAGCATGAACAGTGGAGCGTCAACAATTAGTCGCAATTAATTGAAATATGCGTGAGAGAAATATTCAAAAAGTTTTCAATATATATATATTTTTTTTTTTTTTTTTTTTTTAATGTCAAATATTTTATCCTCTACTCGAAAAACAATATTTCCATCATTTTTTTAATATTATTTATTTAGTATTTATGATTAATAATAAAATTTAAATATAAATAAATAAATTTAAATTAAATTAATTTTTATTATTTTTATTATTATTAGTAAATATTACTAATTATTAATAAAGTAATTAATAATTTGTTAAAATTCGTTGATATAATGAAAATTTTGGTCTTTTGACATTTTATTTCTCATCGTGAAAAAGTTTCCTCATTTAAAAAAAAAAAAAACTTTTTTATACGAGAAATAATGAGGAAAAATCCCCTTTTTATTAGAAAGATTAATCTCCAATGTTCGCGCAAGTTTCTTCTTCCTCTCTCTCTCTCTCTTTCTCTTTCACTCTTTCCAAGATTTTTAATTATTTATAACTCGGTAAGCTAGTTTTGTTGGTTATACAATTTTTATTAAAAAAAGAAAAAATGACACAACGAATGAGTCATTTCGGAATCATTCGGATGAAATCAAATGCAAACGTCCTCAAGATTTAGACTTTCACATTCAGTGAAACTAATCAATAATCGATTGAAATGGAAAAGAAATTGTCTTGACGCAATTTTTTTTTTCATCTCAAGAAACAAATGTGGGAGAAAAAAAATTTTATCTCTATTAAAAAATAGGGCAATTTGAGAAAAATTTTTCTGTCAAAAAAAATTTGGAAAAATATTTTTCTCAAAAATTGATTTACTTTTATTCGTTTATTCATTAATTTATTTATAAAGATAAATATTTATTTTTTATTTATTAATTTGTATAAATAATTATTTTTATTTATACATTTATATAAATAAATATTCATTTTTATTTATTAGAATAAATTAATTAATAACCTATTTATAAAAAGGACAAGATTTAAAATATTGTTTCAAAAGAGAAACTTTTGAAAAAGCGAAAAATAAAAAAACAGTTTTAAAATGATAATTTCAAGATTGGTATCAAAATTTTATTTAAAAATTGAAAAAAAAAAAAAAAAAAAAAACAAATACGACCAAAAGGTCATTTCTTTTATCAGTAATGTTTCAATTTTTCGATAAATGAATCTGAATAAATATATATTTTATTTTTAAATTAAAGAAAATCATTTTATAAATAAATTAAAGCAAAATACGTACATCAAAATAGGGGAAAAAATTATAATTATTAAAAAAGGTACTATTGATTAATAATATTAATATAAAAAAAATACTATTGGCAAAAAAAAATTTTTAAATAAAAGAAATTTTTTCTAACAGAAAATTCCTTTTTTTTAATCAATAAAAATTAATTTCTTTTTAGATTGGAAATTTTTTGAACACTATATATTGTGATATAAATAAATAAATTTTTGTGACATTAATATTCATCTATACGTCATTTAATAACGAATTTTATATAAAAAATAAAATTTTCTCGATATATATGGTTTTTTTTAAATAGATTTTTTCCTCTGCTTAAATCTAAGCTTCTATATTTGAAACGAAAAAAACTATTTGAAAGGAAAAAAAGGGGGAAAAAAAAAGTTTGATAGTAATTTGATGCAGAAACTTGAAATTTTCATTTGAAACTAGAAACTATCTTTTCTCAAAGCTTCTTTATTCTCTTTTCGTTTCCGAAATCCTTTTTATTTTGGAGACGTGGGTCTCTCTCTCTCTCTCTCTCTCTCTCTCTCTCTCTCTCTCTCTCTCTCTCTCTCTCTCTCTCTCTCTCTCTCTCTCTCTCTCTCTCTCTCTCTCTCTCTCTCTCTCTCTCTCTCTCTCTCTCTCTCTCTCTCTCTCTCTCTCTCTCTCTCTCTCTCTCTCTCTCTCTCTCTCTCTCTCTGTCTCTTTTTCTCTCTCGTCTGCCCCCTTTCCGGCGAGCCAACCCATAGCTCACGAACACTGAAGCTTGATACAATGGGATGATGAGAAGAAAAAGGATAAAATGGAATACTTTCCCTCCACCTTTCCAAAGAGATTAAAGTTGAGTAGAATAGCGCGCGAGAGAGGAAAACAAAGAGAGGAAAGAAAAGGCGAAAAAAAAGAGAAAAAAAAACAAGAAACGAACGAAAGGACAAAAATATTTACTATATAACTAGGAGAGAAAGAGAGAAAGATGATGATGATGATGATGATGATCATAGAGAAGAGGTGAAAAATTAGATTTAAAAAGTTAGCTTAGATAGCTGAGGGGTTTAATATTATAGAGAGATGCAGCAAAACGATATAATAATTAGGGTCCTTCGAGATTTTATGATTTTCAGTCCTATAGAAGAGCTATTGAATTCTTCCTCATTTTTAAAGCTGCCATTTTCAGTTTTACACTTCTTATAATCATTCGTTAAAACTACATTTCAAAATTGTTCTATTTTATAATTTTCATTCTTCTTTTATTTTTCTTATTTTATAATTAGTTATTATCAATTTATGATTCATTTTTATTATTTTTTCTCTTATTTATTATAATTAATTTTCATTATTATTTTTAATTATTATTTATTTTAAAGATTTATTATTAATTAGTAAATAAAGAATCGAATTTTAAAAAATTGAATTATGGTTTTTAGTAATATGTAAAAAATTTACAATATTTTTTTTTTTCTCTTTACAATGAAATTCATATAATCATCTCTTTTTTTTCATTAAAATATCTATACGATTTTCAGGGTTTTCATTTTTGTCGTGTGAAATTTTTCTAAAAAAAATAAAATAATATACGAATATTGTCGTAGATCGGCTATTCTTTTTTTTTTTTATTTTAAATCCGTGTTCGGTTGTTCGAAAAAAATAATTTGAAAAAAATGTCCTTCTAACCAGTATCGAAAAGCCTTTCAAGTTTGCGCGCACACCTACATATATACATATATATATATATATTCGACGAGTCCAAGCTAAAAGGATTACGTGGAATTTATTTGAAAAAAAAAAAAATTGCAAACTATTTTGCGCTAATGTCCCTCAATATTTCAAAGGCGTAAAACTTTTCTGTGGAAAAATTTAGAAAAAGCACCGAGCTTTATTCTCATTTTTAGAATAGAAACAGAAAAAAATATATTATTTGTCTTCGATAGCAGTTATTGTATTAAAAAATGGAGAAAAAAAATTTTCATCTTTTATTATTTTTAGATATAAAAAAATTCTTTTTGATTTTTTTTTCCAATTTTGTCTTTTTAGAGTATTTTTTCATTCTTGGATTATTTTTCTTTTAATTTTTTTTTTTTTTTCATGAGGTTATTTTTGCCTTTTTATTATATTTTTTCGATCTTGGAAATATTATTTCTTTCAATTTAAATTTTTCCTATAAAGTATTTTTGAATTTTTCAAACCATTTTTTTATATTTTAATTACTTTTTTCCATAAGGTAATTTTGCCTTTTTTTGATTTTTAAAAATATTTTTCATCATCCAAAGTATTTTTTTCTTTTAATTATTTTTCTTATGAAGTATTTTTGGATTTTCTTTTAATTATTTTTTCCATGAGGAAATTTTGCATTTTTATCTAATTTTTGATTCTTGAAAGTATTTTTTATGTTTATTGTTTTTCAACCTCGAGAAAGTGTTTTTAATTCTTGAAAGTAGTTTTTTATCCATGAAATTATTAAGTAAATAAACAATTATTTATAATAATAATTTGGAAAATTGATTTTTCAAAAATGATGAACCAAAAATTGTTTTATGAAAATTTATATTAAAAATTAAGTCCATTAAAATATAAGACTCTTTATGATTGAAATACACATGGAAAATCGTGTACGTATTTTTTTCCCAATTTTGTTTTCTTCTATTTTACTTTCTATGTTGATATATTTTCTTGTATTTTTTTTTTTTTTTTTATCAATCCACATTTTTCTTCTCTTTTTTTTCCTACAATATATTTTCTTCTCTCTGTGTGTGTATTTTTCTCATCCATATATTTTTCTTGTACATGTAATTTCTTGTAATATTTTCCTTTTCGTTTAATTTTTCGTATGTATTTTTTTCTTAATATTTAATTTCTCATTCGTATATAATTTTCGAAATATTTACTCTTACGTATATTTTTCTGAATATTTAATTTTTCTTTCGTATATTTTCCTGTGTACATTTAATTTTTCTTACGTATTTTTTCCTAAATATTCAATTTTTCGTTCCTATATTTTCTAGTACGTTTAATTTTCTAAATATTTAATTTTTCGGAATATTTCATTTCTTCTACGTATATTTTTATTTAATTTCTTACACATATTTTGTATACAATTTTTTTTTGTATATTTAATATTACAGAATATATATTTTCCTTTTTTTTTAAATTCAAGTCCCTTTTCTATTTAAGAAGGAAGCGTATAGTCATAGTCGAAAGAGAGTGAGACAGAATCTCAGCGCACAATATTGAGAGAATCGAAGGAGGGAATATTTGAGATTCGATCGTATTCATCCGTTTCGACAGGCATTCATAGGTTCGCAGGTTTAGAGAGGTTCATATACCTGAGTTTTGGAAGATCGCATATACAATTCAGTGAAATAAAAGAGAGGCAAGTTACCTTCACCTTGCCTACCGGCTTGCTTGGGCCTGGCTATACGCCATCCGGCGTGATGCCGTCGGCGTCGTCGTCGCCAACCCTCCTTCTTTTACCTCGTATCACTTCCCTTTACCTCGCCAAACCCCTCATCATCCTCTATATATATATATACCTAAAAGGGGGGACTTTGAATCGCTCCTCTTTACTCATTCTTTGTCCCCCACCCACTCTCTCTTTCTCTCTTTCTCTCTCTCTCTCTCTTCTTTCCACCGACCTGCAGACCACGGACCAGGATAAAACCTGAATTTCAACCGTCTACCTAAACTCCGACACGCTGAAAGTTCAGTCCGAAAATTTCTGCTTCGATGATCGTCTGGATTTTTCGAAGCCTCATCGTCGATATTTATTTTTTTTTTTTAAAAAAAAAGTAAAAAACAAAATCCTCAGGAATCTTCTGTATAATATTGTAGAATATTTTCTTTGAAAAAAAAAAATCCTATGGCTTCGTTTGGCGATTTTTAGGAAGCTCTACTTATGTAATCGCCTTTTGTTTATCGAGATAATTTTTTCTCATGCGAAAATTTACCCTTGAATATTATTTTACAAAAAGAAACTTTTTCTCTTACCATTTTCTCTTTCTTGTTTTCCATATTTTTCTTGATTTTCTTCTTCTATTTCTGAATTTTTTTTTTTTGGAGACATCGTAGCCTATTTCCTTCACCTATATGGAAATATTAAATGTTAATAAAATTGAAAATATTCATTTTTTCGACAAATTGTAAAAAAAAAAATTGTCACAATAAAAAAACTAATATAAATACTGTATATAAAAATAAATATTAATTTATAAAGTAATAAATATATATAATATAAAAGTAAAATTTGTTCTTTACATAGAAACTTTTTTGGTCTTACAGAATAATTTTATTATTCTATTTGCAGTCTATATTAATAAATCTAATTTTAATTTACAAATATTATATAATATAATTTATAAAAATTATTAATTTATAAAAGTAAATTTCGTTTCTTGTGTAGAAACTTTTTTCGTTTATAAAATTGACTTTTGAAAAAATCGAGGAAAAAATTTTATTATTCTGTATTAATTTCAAATTTAAATTCAAAAAAAAACCCGTGTAATTTAAAATGAGTTACCGACAAAAATATTTGATTATTTAAATGATAATTTTTGATAATTAATTTTTATTTTCCTTTCGTTTATAATTAATAAAAATAATACCAAAATATGATTTTACAATAGCTTTAACAAAAAAATCTCAAATATTTTAATATAGAATTATTTATTTAATAATTTTATTTTATTTTATATATTATAATATAATTTATAAGAGTAAAATTTGTTTCTTGCATAGAAACTTTTTTGGTTTATTGAACTGATGAAAAAATCTAGGGACAAATTTTATTATTCTATTAATTTCAAATTTAAATTCAAAAAACTATATTTAAATTGAGTTACCGGAAAAAATGTTTCAATTTATTTTAAATGATAATTTTTTTTGGTAATTAATTTTTATTTTGCTTGATTTATAATTAAAATAATACAAAAATATTATTTTAGTGTTTTTTTTTTTTTTTTTTTTTTTAAAGAATTATTTATTTATTTAATAAGTAATAGATAGTTTATTTAAATTTTGTCATTTTATATCTCTATAATGGAACGTTTGAATTTTTCAAGAATTCATTCCATGGCTTTTAATAAATTCTGCCAAAAAGTGAATTTTAATGAAAGAAATATTTCATGGGGATACATATATTTCGTGTGAATATTGAAAGCAATTTTCTCTTTTTATTTTTTTATTTTATTTTTTTTTTGTCCCCGCAGGACCGAAAATTCATATTATTATGAGACACACTTGATAAGCTGCTGTGAGATGATAATTATAATTTTCGGTATCACAAGGATAATTTAAATTTTAATGAGATATATATCGGAGAGCAAAAAATTGGCATTGACTTTTTGTCCGAGTTTTCGTTTTTTTTTCTTTAATGTAAAAATAAATTCAAAAAGAAATGAGAAAAAAAATTTATTTCAAATTCCAGAGCTTTTGTGAAAGAGTAAATTAAATATCAGGATAGAGAGAGAGAGTATAGTGCGAAAGCCAGGGCAATAAATCAATCAACGTCAGAGAATCTTGAATAAAAGCTGTAAAAATCGTATGAACTTTTGTAATTTGTAAAAGTTTATTTCGAGCTTTCAAAATTAGTTTTCGCGTTTCTCTCTTTCTCTCTTAAACTCTGCTCTACTTTTTCCAAGTTTTTGGACAATAGAAAGTGACGGGGAATTTTTCTATATTATATTATAGAAATATTTTTTCTCTGTATTTTTTTTTTAACAATAAATAAATTATCATTTTTTTTCAATTGCCAAAAATTTATTTTTCAAATTGTTTTAATTTTTCTAATTTTAGAAAATTTATTTTAATATTATAAAATAAAAGAAATATTTAATTAAAATTTAGAGAATATTTTTACAAGTTTTTTTTTATTCTTTTTTTTTTAATTAGAATATTCATTTAAACTTCGAGAATAGTATCTATGTTTTTGTAAAGATTTTAAATTAAAACTTTTTTTTTTCGCGAAACATATGAAATAGAAAGAAAATGTTCAAAGAGGAAAAATTGAAAGTTGAGAGAATGAAAAAATTCATCTTTTAGCTTCAGGCACTTGGAACAATATTTCTTTTTTTTTTTTATATAAATCTATTTTTAGTCTTTAAAATATTGTTTCTTTATTGTCTTGAATTGTGATTTTTTAAATTTTAATTTAGAATCACTTTTGAATTTTTTTATTTTTTATTAAATTTATTTACGTTATAAAAATAGAGAATACTTTTTCATTTATTGAAAAATTATTTTATTGACGTGAATTTTACGATCGATAAATTATATATATATATATATATATATATATATATATATATATATATATATATACAAGAAGAAGAAATATAAGAAAAAATAAAAATGTAATATAATAAAATATAAAAATACAATATATTAACATATTAATATTAAAAACATTATTTTTACTTTCTGTATTGAAAATTTTAGCACGAGGAATTCTGATATTAAACAATACTAATAAATAATTTATTAATAATTAATTCATTCAAAGCAAATAAAAAAAAAATATCAAACTATTTAATATTAAAATTAAATAATTTTTTAAAAAATTATTATTTTAAAAATATTTGAAAATTTTATACAGTTTTTATTTTAAATATTTAAACCAATCGGAAAAATTAAGATAACCATTTCGATATTATAAAACGATATTATATTTAAATTAGCAAGGTATGTAGATAAGATAGATTTAGTATCTTTGTTTACTTAGATGATATTTGCTTTAAATGTAGATAAGAAAACAAGAAACTAAATGAAATATGTCAAGACTTCTCGTAACAAAAAAAAAAATAATTAAAGTTGTTTTCATTTCTATTTTTTAATGCAAAATTCAAATAAATATTTATATGGGGATAAAGATGAATTTTTTTTTTCTATTAATTATTTTTTAATTCGATAAATTAAAATTTATGAATGCATTAAATTTAAAAAAAAAATTTAATTTAAAATTATATATTAAATATTTAAATTTAATTTAAAATAACAATAGCAGAAATTTTAATTCAATGTCAAAAAAAAAAAAAAAAAAAGAAAAAAAAAGAAAGCTCGGAAAATTCTTAATTTCAATGCGGGAAAGGAATTTAATGTGTAAAATTAAATAGGCACTTCTGCCAAGAATTCCCAACAGAATTGGGTGTACAGTGACGTAGAGAGTAGAATTGCAATTAGCTAATGGCTGATTAATAATTGTATTTCATATTCGTAATTAATCAAAAAGTTCATTATGAATTTTCACTGTTAGTTATTACTAACAATATTACTCACTTATTAAAATCTCGAATAAATAAAACAAAACAAAAAAAATGATGCTGCTGCTGATACTACATACGTCTGTCCTCGTTTTCAAACAGAATTTTAATTTATTGAAATGGATACGCCTTTTAGAAAATATATTTCTAGTTAATTATATATCAAAAACAAGAAAGATTTAACAATAGTATTTTTAAATAAATAAATAATAATAATAGTAATAAATAAATAAATATTTTTAGATAAAAACAGTAAAAATTTCTTAGGAAAAGAAATTTTTTTTTTGGTTTTTAAGAAAGAAATTTTTGTAATTAAATATTTTTCTACTCACAGTTATTTTTGCTCCTTTGAAATATTTTTTGCCTCAATTTTCTTAATTTAAAATTTTTCTTTCTTTCCCAATTTAATGATTTTTGGAATAAATTTTTCCTTTCTATTTTTTTGCCTGCAATTTTGCAACTTGAAAATATATTTTGTTCCTTTTAAAATAATTTTTGTTTGACAGTAATTTTTTGTCAACAATTTTGCACCTTGAAAATATACCTTTTCAAATTATTTGAAAAGTATGTATTTTTCTACTCACAGTTATTTTTGTTCCTTTGAAATATTTTTCGCCTCAATTTTTTCAATTTAAAATTTTTCTTTCTTTGACAATTTAGTGATTTTTGGTATAAATTTTTCCTTTCTATTTTTCTGCCTGTAATTTTGCAATTTGAAAATATATTTTGTTCCTAAATTATTTTTGTTGAAATTAATTTTTGACAGAAATTTTACTCCTGTTCCTTTCAAAATTACTTTTTCTCAAAGTAATTCATCGCCGAGGAAATCTTTTCGGTTCTCCTATAGAAAATAATTTCTTCTCTTCGAAATCTAATTTTGAAAATAAATTTTCAAAATTATTTTTTTCCCCTCAAATTTTTTGATATCTTCGTCCGGAATTTTTTTTTTCTTTCGATCCCTGGAAAAATAATTTTTCTTTAAAAAAAATATTCTTTTTTTTCGTTACCATAAATTTTTTTGTTATTGATAACAGAATAGAAAAAAAAATCAGAAAAGAGAGAAAGAAAACGATTATTTTGTTAACAATTTTCAGTAATAAAAAAAAAAATAAGAAGAGGAGACAGTTTAAAATTGAAAGAAAGATCTAAAAAGTTAGTAGTAGTAGCAGTAGAATTGCGGCTGAAAAGCCATAGCTTCTTGAAAAAGGGAGGTCCTTCTTAAAAGAGATAAAGAAATGACACTGCACGCCTCGGAAAAAAAAGAGGGGTGGAAGAGGAAGGGGGCTAAAGATGTGTGGCAAGCGACTACTCCAATGTTCACGTGACATAAAAGTCAGAAAGACATTTCAAAGACTTCCCTTCTGCCTTATTCTCCGAATCTTCTCAAAAAAAAGGAATTCTTTTTTTTTTTATTCTTTTCTTGTCAATTCAAAACCATGAGAGTCAAGATTGAGTTCTCATTTCTAAATTCCTCTCACATGTGTATAATAGCACAAGGTGCAAAAGGGAACAATTTTTTCAACAAGTGTAAGATAAATGATAAGTGTAAAACTCTTTTTTTTATATTGCATTTTTTTTAAACACAGGAAGAAGAAACAAAAAAAAACACCACATTATTTATATTAATAGGTTGAAGTTTGCACATAAACCAGTTCGTGACTTGTTTCACAAAGTTAGAACTGTCCATAAATAGAAAAGTTTCCTTAGAGACTTGTAAATCGTCTCATGTAAAAGTCACACAAGTTTCGTTCGATTACGACTTGCAAATGACAAATAAAGATGAAAATTTGAGCTGAAATTAAAAATACTCAAATCTTTTCAATAAAAAAAACAAAATTGGGCAAATAAATTTTGTATTTTTTTTTTACAAAAGCATTTTTCTGCATGGAAAACAATTTTTTTTTTAATATTGCTGGCCTCGGATTTCAAAATCACTTTAATTCAATTATTTTCAAAAATTTCAATTTAAAATCTTCAAAATTTAATGATTTTCAAAAATGTATTATTTGAAAAATTATTGTAAAATTTAATTATTGTCTCAAATTTAACAAAATATTTTAAAATTTATTTATTTTTGAAAATTTCAACTTTGACTCTTTGAAAGTTTAATTATTTTTGAAAAAAACCTTCGAAAATTTAATTATTTCTAAAAATATCAATTGTACATCTTCCAAAATTTAAATGATTTTAAATGATTTTTATAATACTTTTCAAAAATTCAATTATTTGAAAGTATTTTTTAATCAAAAATTTTTGAAATTCTATTTTTGTCTGTAATTTCTAATAAATTCTTCAGCAAAAGAAATCACGAAAAAATTCCAATTAAAAATAACTTGAATTCAATTATTTTCAAAAATTTAAATTTAAAACCTTCCAAAAATTTAATTATTTCTAAAAATTTCAACTGAAGAATTTTTTCAAAATTTAATAATTTTAAATGATTTTTGTGATATTCTTCAAAAATTCAATTTTTTAAAAGTATTTTTTAATAAAAAATTTTCGAAATTCTATTTTTGTCTTTATTTTCTAATAAATTCTTCAGCAAAAGGAATCGAGAAAAAATTTCCAATTAAAAATCCCTTGAATTCAATTATTTTCAAAAATTTCAATTTAAAACCTTCTAAAATTTAATTATTTCTAAAAATTTCAACTGAAGAATTTTGTCAAAATTTAATAATTTTAAATGATTTTTGTGATGTTCTTCAAAAATTCAATTATTTGAAAGTATTTTTTCAAATTAAAAATTTTTGAAATTCAATTTTTTAATTTCTAATAAATTCTACATCAACAGAATTCACCAAAAATTTCAATTAAAAATCCCTTGAAGTTCAATTAATTTCAAAAATTCCAAATTTAAACCTTCTAAAATTTAATTATTTCTAAAAATTTCAACTGAAGAATTTTGTCAAAATTTAATAATTTTAAATGATTTTTGTGATATTCTTCAAGAATTCAATTATTTGAAAGCATTTTTTCAAATTAAAAATTTTTGAAATTCAATTTTTTAATTTCTAATAAATTCTACATCAACAGAAATCACCAAAAATTTCAATTAAAAATCCCTTGAAGTTCAATTAATTTCAAAAATCAGAATTGTAAATCATGGAAATTCAATTACTTTTAAAAAATATTATCAAAAATTATTTGAAAAATTATTTTCAATTTTGTAAAATTTAATAGTTGCCTGAACAAAATTTTTTCAAATTTATTTCCAATAAAAAAATGTAAATCAACTTTTTTTTGCACCTTAAAGTCGATCCAATGCCTGATATTGTAAAGAAAATCGAAATTTTTGATTAAACAAGAAAAGAAGTGTGTCTAAAATTGAAGTTTATGTTTCCTGTTGAAAAAAAAAAAAAAATCAGAGTTGAAAAACCCCGCGTGATTAGAGGATTTTATATTTGCTAAAGTATTATTATTTTTTATAAGACCCTAGACAGATGGGCTCATTGGGATTTACGAGTTGCACTATATACTGTTAGGAAAAAAAAAAAAAAAAAAAAAAAAAAAAGAAGTAGAGAAAAAAAAAGATAGTGCACTCAACAAGCGAGACGGTTACATTTCTCTTGCCTCGTACAAATGCCCCCTCCACATATCGATTGCATTCTCTCTCTTTTCCTCTCTTCAATGTTTCTCTCCCTTGCATTTCTCTCTCTCTCTCTGGATTTTCTCTCCTTCTCTCTCGAATTTCTCTTTCTCTCTCGGTTTTCTCTCCTTCTCTCTTGATTTTCTTTCCTACTCTCTCGCGTATTTCTCTCTTTTTCCCTCTCAATGTGTATTTTCTCTATTTTCTCTCTTACTCTCCCTATAGTTCTCCCTTTTTTTTTTCCTCCTCTTGCCCTTCGAGCTCTTCTCTTCATCCAACACAGAACTCTTTCTGTCCATTCATCCATTGTCATAGCGTCAATGCAAGCGTGGTGGTGGTGGGAGGAAGGGAGTCACTCACACCCCTTTGCCACCCACATCACAGAGAGAGAGTAGAACCTGAGGCTTGTATATATACCTCTCTCTCTCTATATATATATATATATATAAATATATATATGTATTAAAAAAAAAAAAAAAAAAACGAAAAAAGAGAAAAAATTGAAGAAAAAAAAATACAAGCTCTCCTCGGCAACGTGGCGAGTTCGAGGAGCGTAAAATCTGAAAAAGCGAGAGAGCCATCAGAGAGAAGGAAAAGCAGTCCAGAAGTCAGGGTTGTGACAGGAAACCCCACACAAGGAGGAATACACCAAGGGGTCTTTCTATCTCTCTCTCCCTCTCTTTTAGAGTAGGGACCGTTTGGGAAAATTCTCATGCAAATCCTCGCTTAGAAACAGTCATTCTCTTTTCATATATTAGAAAATTTTAGTATATTTTAGAGAAATTTTTCACATTTTCTTTGCAGTTTTATCAATTTTTCTTTTTTCATCAAGCGATTATTTTTCATCTTTTTGAATTCCATGAATTTTACTTTTATTTATTCACTTGTAATTTTTAAAAATTTTTTTTCAATATTTAATATTATTTTTCTTAATTATTGTAAGCAATTAATAATTTAATTTAAAAAAAGAAATTGAACACAAGTTTCAATTTTCTATATAAGCAAATTGAATTGTATTTTTATTATATTTCGGAATCTATAAAACAAAAATTTTAATTTTCTATTTTTTTTGGATATAAATTAAAAATTTCAGAATATAATAATAATTACCCTGTATTTTAATTTGAAAATAAAACATTTGTTCAAACAAAAAAAAAGTTGATTTAAATTGTCAAAGTAAATATTTACTAGTCACAAATAATTAATTTTTTTTATGTTTAAAAAATTTACTCGATTTTTAATAATAAAGTTTTTTTATAATATTAATATTAATTATTATATAATAATATAATAAATAAATAAAAATTTTTGTTTGTATTTTATCAAATCTCAACGTTGTTTTAAAAAATAGTGTAAATTTTCAATTTAAATTTCTCACTGAAAATTGTTAAGATTAGCATTTCTTTTTTTGTCAAATATTTAATGAAAATTTATTTATTTTAAATTTATAAAGAAATATAAATAAATTGTAAATAATCATTTATAGTCCAAAATAGAAATCTAAATCTTGGAAATAGAAAACTGAAGAGAAAATTTACTTTATAAAAATTATAAATATTCATTTCTAGTTCAAAATAGAAATCTAAATTTTGGAAATAGAAAAATAAACAGAAAATTGACATTTTAATTTAAATATAAAAATACTGTTTTTTTTTGCAAATATTTTTTTAACTTTTTATAAAAAATTCTTTCCTTTTTTTTTGTTTGAAAAACTGTACTTTGTTAATTAATTCTTTGTACTTTAGTAAATTTCAAAAATTTTGTAATTCAACTGCTTTTTATAATAGAAAATTTAAATTAAAAAAAAATTTAATTACGAAACAATTTTTAATCAAAAAAAAATTATTAATAGTAGAAAAATTTACCTTTATTTTACCTTTTCGGTTGTATTCTTGAATCCTGTCATTTTCGATTTCAAACAATATATTAAATTTCGTTTTCTCTTCAATTGGAAATTTCTTGAAATATAAATCATATTTTTATTCCACGGTAGTTTTAAATTATTGTAACTTCAACGTTTAATCAACACCTTCAATCGATTGTATTTTCAAATCATAAAAATTTCAAATAATAATAGTTCCAAATAATTTCCAAATAATTCCAAAAAAAATAAACGATGGTAATTTTTAATCGATGAAATATCCAATAAATTTTGAAGCAATGAATTCCAAACAATAATTATCCAAATTGCTATTCCAAAAGTTGATTTTCTTTCGATTTTCAAAATTTACCATCAGATTATAAATAAAAATAATAATAATTTTTGTCCTTCAATTCCTGAGATGAAAATTTTTCAATTTTTGCAAAAAACTTGTTAATTCCAATTCTTCAAAATTATTCACAAAAAAAAAATATTAACTTCTTTATTTCTTTTTGTTACAGATTCCATTACATCCGGTGTCGCAGATGATCTCATTGTCAGCATGTTGTTTTTGAAAGATGACGATCAACGTCATCATTTTCTCGTGATAATCTAGAAGAAGAAGAAGAAGAAAGAAAAAAAAACAGAAGAATAAGAAAGATGAAGAAGGAATCGTTATTTTTCTGAGAAAATAAAAGAAAGCAGAGGGGGGGGGGGTCAAGAAAATTTAGCCACATGTATTTTCAATATTAAAGACTAAAACCGAAATCGAAAAATATTTTTTCTTTCAGTTTCAGTTGTAGTCTTTAATTAAAAAAAAAACAAAAAAAAATTAACAAATTTCTTTGTAATAAATTTTCTTCGATAATTCATTGAATTTTCACATATTCTGCGCCTTTATCTACAATGGCAATTTTCTCTGGTTAGAAAAATTTTTTTTTTTCTTTTTCCCAATTCCGAACAAAAAATAAACTAATATCTTGTGTACAAAACAAGTTTTAAAAAATTTAATTCCTATATTGTAACGATAAAATTAGTAAAAAAAAACAGAAACATTTGTTCATAATGTAAAATTGTAAAGCATTTCAATTTTTTTTTATATGCAAAAAATAGTTTCGACAAATTTGTACTTATTTTTAAATTTTTTTTTTCTTTTTTTTTATATGAATTAATTTTACGTGCGCGCATATTTTTGTAAATACGAAATTTTTCCGAGTTGTTTCAATAAAAAAAAAAAAAAGAAAGAAACTTCTCACAAAAGTGTGCAGAAATGCTTCATTGTAAATAATAAGAAAAATCTGCATTTTTGCCTCTTTTTTTTATTATTATTATTATTAATATTATTATTATGAAAAATGAAATTGATAAGTTGTTTTTTCTCTACTGTTTCTTAATCAATAAGCATTGTCTGTATTTTTGTTAAAAGTGCTTGCTTCAATAATAAAAAAAAAAAAAATGCATTGCACACCGAATTCCATTCTTTTATTTCATTTTCCTTTAACTAAAACGTAAATTCTGAATTTTCAATTTTTCCCTTTTTAAAGTATTTTCCCTAAGAAGAAAAATAATTTATAATTTTTTAAAAAGAAATTTAAATATTTTTTTTTTTTCAGTAAGAAAATTGGTTTTTTCTCTGTAGGGGAAAAAAAGTACGTTCATGCGATGCCTTTTGGAAATAAAAAAAAAAAAAATTCTTATTTGTAACACAATGAACGTTTACGAAAGTGTCTTCCGGCCTTTTTTCCATCAGACTATAAATATTTTACAGTGTGTAATCGCTTATTTTGTAATATCCTGGCGCATTAATAATATCAATAATGAGAAAAAACCCACGCTTCCATCCTCCTATTCATATATATATATAAAGTACAGTAAATGCAAAAAAAAATGTGTCTTTTTTTCGGAAAAATTTGAAAAAAAACTATTTTACAATAAAATATTTTCAATATTCCTCTATATACTATATGCAGGGAATTTATACGTTTGATTAATTTTAATTTACAGCCGTGTAACTTGGCTCACGTAACAGGATATGACTGGGACAAAAGTTTCGGATTTCCCATATAATACAGGTTGTGTGTGTATAAAAAAAAAAAAAAGAAAAAAAAAATTATGGTGGTTCCACCTGTACTTCTCGCACATCTGTTGCAGTTATTATTCGCATTAATTTGCCTAAGAATTTAAAATTTCCACTTTGTTCATCGTAAATATAAAAAATATTTGATTTTTTTTTTTTAAAACAACTTTTTTATTTTTACGTTTTAATTTTTTTTCCCCGCATTTTGTATTTTTTTTTTGTTACTTTGCAATTTTATACTTTATATACATACATTGTTAGAGAACAATTTTGTTTTTATTTTCAAAAATTGAAATTTGTCAAAATATTAAATTAGAGATAATTTTTTTAAAAATTAATAAAAAAAATTGTAAGAGAAAGAAAAAGAATTGAAAAATTATAGATAAAAAATCCCATTCTAAATCCAGGCCTCGGATTACATGACTTTTTCTGCCTTTTTTTCGAAAATACGACTTTTTGTCGACTTATTTGCAAAAAGATGCGACTTTTTCGAATTCTTTTTTTTTACAAAAAATTTTTAACAAAATACATTTTTTTTAGTATACAATGCAGATCTTTTTCAGATTTTCTTTATTTCAATTATTTAACAAATTTTTAACTATAATTCTTCACTAAATTAATTTTTTTTTTTAATTTTAATGAAATTCTTCACAAATTCAATTATCTTAAATTATTTTCCAATTAAAAATTTTTTGCAATTGTTAACAATTTAAATAAAATCAAACAAAATTACCAAAAATTTCAATTAACAATCACTTGAAGTTGAATTAATTTTACAAATCTAAATTGTAAATCTAAAAATTCAATTAATTTTAAAAAATGTTATCTAAAATTATTTGATAAATTATTTTCAATTCTGTAAAATTTAATTATTGTCTGAAATTTAACAAAATCTTTTGAAATTTAATTTTTTAGAAAAAAAATAACTATTTTTTAAAGTTCAATTATTTTTAATAATTTTAATAAATCTTTAAAAATTTAATTATTTAAAAAAAGTTTTTAAAACTCTATAATTGACTTGTTTTCAGAATTTTTCTTTTAGAAATTTGTGTAATTTAATTAAAAGTTTTAAAGATTTATGTCTTCGATTTTGAAATAGAAATAAATTTTTTTGATAATATTCCTATAGAATTATTCTTATTAAAGAATTAATAGAATTAATATCTAATAATATTAATTATTTAAAGTAAAATACTTATTTACTAATTAAATTTAATAAAAAAAAAAAAAAAATCGCCCTTTTTGGAATGTAAATCGACTTTTTTGCGTCTTAAATTTGATCCGAGGCCTGTAAATCACTAAGTTCGATTGTGTAAATAATTTTCTTTGAATTAGTTTCGAAAATGAAAATCTCGATTAAATAAATATCAAATTTACTTAATCCACTGTCCAATACATTTTTTTTTTTTTCATAACATTATCAACTATACATTAGTATTTAGCGGAATGACAATTCACTGTAAATGTAGAAGTTTAAATATATAATTTATGCTAAATGTATACAAAAATTAATTCTCGAATGCATTAGTATTAACACTACACACTACTCAGCAAACCAGAAATAATATCATTCAGGTACGCACTTCAAATACTGTATTATCACAATGTATATATATATATATTTAAAATTTATATATTGTTTCTTCTTCATTATTTTTTTCTTTTCCTTTCTGAATAATGTATCATTTTTTTTTCTTTCATTTATACAATTATCTTAAAGATCTTACGTTACGATTTTCATTTTTTAAAATGCAACAAGCAACATTTTTTTTTTTTATATTTGCAAAAATTCATCAATAAAGTTTCAAAAAACATGTTTGATGTATTTTATATATAAAAAGCCAGTCGAACCTAGCAAAGCCTAAAAAATTCTATATATTGGAAAGGATTCTAGCCGGAGCCTATTTTTTTTCCCGTTTATTTACATACAGAAAAAGAGGATCGATTCTCTGTTTTTTCAAAAGTTTTTATCGCTTTTTGTAACATTAACATTATTTTTTTTCAATTAAAATATTTAATTTAATTTTTTTTTCAATCACTACAAAGAAAAAGTATTGAACAAATTTATTAAATTACCTTTTTTTTTTTTTTTTTTAAAAAAAAAGAACTTATCAGAGTAGCGAGAGTCGAATATTTTTTGTTCCATATATTCTTTCGACAGAATCGAAACTCATTATCATTGTTTTCGCTTTATGGAAGTTTTGATAATACATAAAAGAAGTGCAGGAAATATATTAACGAACTAACTTTAAATAGATATTTTGCTTAAAAGTCGAATAAACTTGAAATCTCGACGAGGCTAAAAAAGCATCAAGAAAGTCTTTAAAAAATGTTTTTGGGCAATCATTTATCAAAGTTTTATATTTTTTAAATCGTTGAGTATATCCACAAGGAATTCCACACATGTTCAATAACATTAACTTTCAATTATTATCTTTTTTTTTCCTAACTTCGTTAATATTTCAATCTGAACTTGTGTGGGAATTTCAAAAAACAGTTTAAAGATGCAAAAGCTTATTATTTAAAATTTCATAATATTTTTTTTTTTTTTGTGCGCAGGCCATGTTTATTGGTTGTCACTCTTCTAATTATTTTTTTCCCCCCTTTGTCATCCTCTTAATTTTATATTATAAATATAAATTTAATATACGTTAAATATAAAAAAAAAAAAAATTCAAAAAAAAAATTATATAAATTTAAGTAAATTATCTACTATTACATAAAATATAATATCGTTTTAATTTTCTTCTGAGATTCTTATTTTCAATAGTCCTTTAAAAAAAAAATCGATGGAAAATAAAATTTTAGTCTTATTAACTTTATAATAGAATATAAAAAATTCAGATTTCTTAACAATAATAAAAGATCTTAAATAAAATAAAAAAAAGTAAAATTTAAGAAATACAATTATGACAAAAAATTTTCCTATTTATAAATTGCATTTTAAATTTAAATGCAGGAAAAAAATTGTTTGCCTCTCTTTTATAGACAGAGTTTTAAAATTTTTACCAATAATTCAGATTTTATAAAATATTTTCTAAACAAATTTTAATTAAGTTAAAATATGTCAAAATTTTAAAATCTCTTAAAATAAACAAATTCAATTATAAAGGCAAAAATAGAATATTCAAATGTTTCACAAAATTTGAATGACTAATTCAAAAAAGAAACAAAAAAATACAATTTAAAATTTCCAATTTATAAAAAATTGAATTTCTTAAAATTTTCCTAAATCAAAAATTATAGTTTTAAAAAATGGCATTAAAATGGAAAATCGAATCAAATTTTCGACTTTGAAATTTAATTTAAAAATTTAATTTAAAAATTCAATTCAAATTGAATTCAAATTGTAATAATAATAAAATTTGAATTATTCAAAGTTAAAAATATAAAAATTTGAATTATTCAAAAATATAAAAAAAATAAATTAAATTTGTAACCTGTTTGAAGGATGACAGAGTCCTGAAATAATCTCTCTTTCTCTCTCTTTCTTTCTTTCTTTCTTTCTCTCTCTCTTAATGGTAGAAATGTTTAGTTACTTTGAAACGTCCAAAATGTAAAGAATTAATTTGTAAAAGTTCACTAGACTATTTGTTTTTTGTTTTTTTTTCATTTTTTCTCTCAAGTACGAATGAGACGTCGCAATGTATCTTGAGCAATGCGAGTCCAACCTTTACGCAAAAAGGTTTCTGTCGTTGACGGTAAAACTTTTATCGGCGATATAAAGTTGTGTCATGCATTTTGATTAGCATATGCTGCCCAGCGAGCGTCATCACTTTCATGTGTCAAATATCGGCAACCAATTTTCGATTCCAATTCCCTCAAGTCACACCACATTTGATAATCCTGCGGAAAAAAAAAATAAATAAATAAAAAAAGAAAAGTTATACAATTCACAATAAATGAAAAATATTTTTTTTTAAGGACTCAAAAAATATTTTGTAAAATTGAAAATAGTTTTTGTAATAAACAAATTATAATATTGGAAAATATTCCAAAAATGGGATTAATAATTATTTCTTTATTCCTTTGAATTTGAATTTTATAAATTTTTTTTTTTTAATTTTACGTAAAAAGATAAATATAAAATTTGAATTCATATTGTTTCTGCAAATATCTGTTATAAAAATCGATATTAAATAATTTTTTTATCATTACCTGACAAAAAAATATTTTTTTTCAATTGATATATTTTTTTAATTTTAAATTGTTTATTGCACACGATGGAATAAAAATTATTTTTCACATACCTGTAACCAAATGTGTTGCAAACTTTTGTCAACTGTGTACCTTTTTCTTTGCTTCACTTGCAGCAAATTGTTAATCAGATCGATAGCTAAAAATAAAATCGAAAATCAAAAAAATTGTCAAAAAAAGAAAAAGAAATTCTCCAACAGAAATTTTTGCCTTTCTCCTTCATTGAGAAAAAAAAACGAATTTTCATTAAGAAATAAAATTACAAACACTGCAAAATAGAGAAAAATTACAAAATTGTAAAAAAAAAGTAAAATTCAAATTAATAATTCAACAATGAAGAAAAATTAATTGGAAAAAAAAATTCAAATAAAAATTATGGAAATAAAAACTAATGATTAAAAAATTCAAATAAAAATTGTGTAAGTAAAAACTAATAATTGTTAAATTTAAATAAAAATAAAAATTATCTAAATAAATATCTAATAATTGGAAAATTCAAATAAAAATAAAAATTATATGCATAAAAAAAATATTAATTAGTAAATTCAAATTCAAATAACAATTATGAAAATAAATAACTAATAATTGGAAAATAAATATAAAAATTGTCGAAATAAAAAAGTATTAATTTGGAAAATTAAAATAGAAATCTGTAAGTAAAATTTTAATTGTAAAGTTAAAATTTAAAAAATTTAGAAATAATGATAAATTACTTACAAGTATAAAAATTAAATGAAAAAAAAAACTGATAATTGAAACAAATTTTTATTTTTAAATATGATAAAAAAAATTCCTAAATAAATTCAAAAAATTCAAAAAAATTTTTGCAAAAAAAGAAAAAAAAAATTCTCACCATCAGAAGAAATCTCCTTCCAAGGATACGGTGGATACATGAAAGCGGCATTTTGAATTTGTTCATTAATATCCTCGTCCTCGTTAAATGGAAAAGTTCCACTCAATGAAACATAAATAATAACTCCCACACTCCACATATCCAATGAACGATTATAACCCTTATTACGTAGTACTTCAGGCGCCAAATATGCCGGTGTACCAACGACACTACGTCGAAAGCTACGTTCACCAATAATACGTGCAAATCCAAAATCACAAAGTTTCACCTGTGTAAAATCACTGTCGCTACTCAATAGAACATTTTCTGGTTTTAAATCACAATGAACAATATTTTTACTATGTAAATGTTTGAGTGCAACGAGTATTTGTGTGACAAGAAATTTTGTTATACGCTCACTGAGCCTTCCTTTTTCAGAGCTTAATATCATTTCCAACATATCGCCTTTCAATTTTTCCATAACAACAAATATTCTCTCAGGCGTTTCAAACATACGATCTAAATTGACAACACCATTGTGCGATAAATTTTGTAATATTGCTACTTCGTTTTTTAATTGAGCTTCTTGTTTTGTTGGAAAGCGTAATTTATCAATAACTTTTATTGCAACTGCTCTATTTGTTTTACGATGTATACCACCGTAAACAATTCCAAATTGTCCAGAGCCAAGAACTTCGTCGGGGAAAATTTGATATAATTGTGACATATCAGTCACTGATTCCTCGGGTTCAGTCGATTGTTCCTGATCTGAAAATTGTAAATTAATATTTTAATTTTTGTTTTGTATTTTTCAATTTTTTTTTACCAATAGTTTTAGGATTAATAAATTATAAATATAAATTCTTTTCTAACAACTAAGGGGAGAATAAATTTTTATTTTAAATAATGTTTTATTACTCGTTGCTGAAGTAACAGGCAATAGAGCCTGTCTTATGCTAGTTTCCCAGGATCTTGCTAAATGTGCTCCAATTCCACTTTCGGGAGGAGGAACCGGTCCATTAGTTCCACTAAACATTGAATCTTCTCCCACATAATAATCTAAATTAGCTGTTCTTAATTCAAAACAGTGCATGGTTTCTAAAAACAGGCAAAAAAGTAACAAGAAATTTAATTAAAAGTTTGAAAAAAAAGAAGTTATTTTCAATATTTAAAAATTACTTCAATATTTTATTTATTTAAATATTAAAGTAAAATTATTTATTTTGAATAAATTACAAATATTATTATAATAAATAAAATGCCTTTATGTTTAAAATTAATGTAACACAATTTTAAATATTCTCATTATAAATATTTAAAATAAGAAAAGTATAAGAAACGTTACTTTAAATATTTTCCAATTTTTAAAATACGTTTTCAATATTTACACTAAAAAGAAAAAATTAAACTTTTAAAATATTAAAAATATCTTTTTTAAATGTTTGAAAAAAATATTTACGTGAATGAACTGCCGTTGGTGGTTCTATGGATAAAATTTCACAAAGCGGTATTTCTCTGTAATACTTTGATCCAGTATCACTTTGAAATAAAGTCAAAGATTTAGAATCTAATCTCCAATAATGTTTCTTTCTCTGTAAGAAGGAGAAAAAAAAACTTTTTTTTTGAATAAAATTCAAATTATAATCAATAAAATGATGCATTTATTGTTTAAAATTAAAATTATTATAACATAATTTTAATCAATAAAAAATATTATTCAATTTTATTTTTCTATAATAATTATCATAAATCTCTTACCATTGAATCACGATTTGTAAAATGTACCATCCAACCTTCTTTTAATACTTGTGAACCTCTTTTCTTTGTATGTTTAACACTTTGAACAATTCTCATTAAAGGAATATTATTGCTGGGAGTTGAGCTGCAGCTAAATGAATAATAAAATTTTTTTTAACACAATACAATTTTATTTTATCAATAAAAATTGATATCACAAAAATAGAAAAAGAAAAAAATATTAATCAAATTTTTGCAAAAGAATTGTTAACATAAAAGTATGAAATAAATTTTTTAGACAAATTATACATTTATTTTTTAAATAAAAAAAATTTTCTCAATTAAAATATAATTTACCTTGAAGGTCTGGATTTTTCCAAATTTTCAGTCGATATATCATGAGAAGAAGCAAACTCTGAGTATTTTCCATTCATTGTTTTTTCATCAGTTAAATAGGAAGTGAATTGTGCCGGTTGAGGCAGAGATTCTGCATCACTATCACCATCGCCTTCTTCATTTCTATCACATCTTCCTTCAGGTTCACTACCGACACCACTGTCCGGATATTCGATGCCTATAAAATTTTTCCTTTACTTAATAATTTTATTCAAAACTGTTTAAACAAAAATTGTAATTAACAATTAAATTTAATTAATTATTAATTAATTTAATTAATTAATTTTAATTTAAATTTGAAAAAAACAATTAATCAATAATATTAATTTATTTGAATAAAATTGTAATTTATTAATAAATTTACCTGCGTTGTCACTAGGATTCTCCCCAATGCAGTCTTTGGGAATTTTTTCTACACATTTTTTATGGGCATTATATTGGCAGTCTTTACATTGGAGGCCTTGTTTAAATAATCCACGTAATAATTTTTTACAAAGACCACAAACCGTTGGTCTTGTATATGTATGAACAACAAATGTGTGTGGAATTTTTATTCGCGTTGCCATTTCACGATCTACCCATACTGGTCTTCCTCCCAATGATGGTGAACGAGATTGTTTTGGTCCCACGATACTAGGTATTGCCTAGAAAAAAAAGAGAAAAAAAAAATTATTATTCTAAAATAAAAATAATAAAAATTTAAATATTTATTAGAAATATTATATTTCTATATTATATTCATAAATATAGAATTTATAGAAATAAAATTTATAAACAGAATTTAAAGAAATATAATTTCATTTATAATTTTGAGTAAAAACTATTTTTTTAAAAATATATTAATTCATAAGCAAGGAGGTAAATTACAAACACAGATTACATTAAAAAAAATGTTAATGAATTTTTATTTTCTTCAAATTTTAATATATTTCTTTTAGTGAATTTATTTCTATTATAGAATAAAAATTATTTTTACTTTCAAATTTTTTTCGAAGAAATGATAATAAAATGTTTTGAGAAATTCTCTATTTTCTTTTTTATTCTATAAAAATTGGAGTAACGGATAAAGAAAAGGACTACATTTTAAAAATAATAATTCGCCTTTATTTAAAATACTCAAATCACAATTTGTTCGGAATTTTCCTTTTTTGAATTGTGCATTTTATTCTAAACTCGATTGTTATTATATATTTATTATAATTACAATAATAATTATAATCTGTAATTATTCAGTTTATTAATTCTAAATAAAATATTTTCTCAATATTCAAAAATAGAAAAATTTAAGATTCGTCGTATTTGCTAAAAGGCATTTTAAAAATTAATTTTTCAATCAAAAATAAGGTTTTTTTTCTTTGCTACAAACAAAATAATACTAATAATAATAAACCATTTTACCGTACCTAATTTATACCAATAACCATCATAATTAAAAACATTTTTAAAAAATACTTTTTATTTTTAATACTTTACTTTTTTACTAGTTTCTATTTTTTTAAATTTATTTTTGAAATTTTATTTTTTAAATTCTATTTCAGTTATAAGAATTATATTGTCTCTTGATAAATATAGTGATAAAAAAAAATACTGAAAATTCTTTTTGGAAAATTTATATATATATTAAAAAAAGGGGAATAAATGAAAGCTTCTAAAAAAAAGTGAATAAAAAATGAAAAATTATTTAAGAAACTTTTTCCAGGGAAGAGATCTCACCAGCGTACTGTTGTTTTGACTTGTGTTTGGTGTTACATTCGTACTGTGATTATCGTCACTGGCACTTGTTAAACTACTCGTGGAACTTTGACTCGGCGATCTTGGAACATTCAATAATGTCGAACTAAGTCGTCTTTGACTCGAGTCTTGTGAACAATTATTTGGAACTCTAATAATACATCGTTTATGATAATTCATACCACATCCTGAAAAAAAAGCAAAATATTTTAACAAATTTTAATTTATTTCACTAAATTTCAAAAATTAATGCAATTTAATTAAGTTAATTAATAAAAATAAAAAAAAATTATATTTAATTTAATAAGATTCCAAAGTGGAAAAATTAATAATAAAAAAAAAGTTGCCATATCTTTATAGTAAAAAAGAAACAGAAAGTTTGATATAATTTTTTATGAAATTATAACGAAAAAAAAATCTGATTTCGTAACTTCAATATGAATTAGATTATTTTAATTTCCTTCGAGAATTCCAAGTTTCATAACTAAATTACCTTCGCATTTAAGACCTTGTCGAACAAGACCAAAGAGCATTTCACCACAAAAATCACAAAAAGTCGGAGCTTTATAAGAATGTACCGATAAAGCGTGAGGTCGAATTGGAATTTGCTCAGTTGGCACTTGTGCTGCAAAAAATTCAAAAAGTAATTAGAATTTCAAATTCTATAGATTCGAATAATAAATTATAAAAATAAATTTTTTTTTGTAATCAATTACAATGCAAATTATATATAAATCCCGATAAATTTTAATTTTAAAAAAACTACATATTTTTATTAATAAAAAAAATTTATTTAAAAGAACTGCTTTAAAAAAAACTGTTTTTATTATTAATAAAAAAAAATTTATTTAAACAAAGAAATCACGTTTTTCTGTATTTTTTTTTCAAAATAGAATCAAAGAAATATTTCCAATTTCCGCGTTGGAAAAAACTTTTGTCATTAACAGAAAGAGAATTGCATTTCTCATTTCGCAAAAGTGTATAGAACTTTGGATTTTAATAGAAAAAAAAAAAAAAAGTCACTTACCAGTGAGAACTATTTCAACTAAAGTTTCATCAACTATTTCCATTGCATTTGTAATGAGTTGAAGGATATTAATTGAATTGTAATCGTGTTTAAATAACAAAAGTCTATCGAACAATTGACTTAAGCCATGATCAGGACACTTGCTATTTATAAAATCACAGGCAAATTCCTTTAAAGACTTGAGTGTCAATTGGCTAGAATCGACAGTTACTGTATCGCGGAGCAATCCAAATTGAAAGAGAAATGTTACTTCGGCAGCCTCCATTTTTTTTGTGTTCCTTTTTCTTTTCTTCTTCTTCTTCAAAAATCCTTTTTCTGTTTCACTGAAATTGAAAAAAGAAAATAAAATCAATTCGCGAATATATATATATTTTTTTTAAAATTATGTCTTCATTTTACTGTAAAATTTAATATCGATTATAAAGTTTATTATTAACCGACTGATGCGCAAAGAGGGTATAATATTATTTACACTTTTTACATTCTTTGAGAGAAAGAAAAATTAAATGATTTAACAGATTTTAAAATAAAAATTTCCTCTTTATTTTTATAATAAAATTTTATTTTAATAAAATTTATTTTAATAAAATTTTATTTACTTTAAAAGTTGAAATTAAATTCTTTTTTTTTTATGTGAAAAATTCAAATAACGTAAATTAAGAATTATTATTCCAACTCATGAAGAATAAAAATTTTATCAATTGAATAAAATCTGCGTTGTCGAGTTATTAAATTGAAAAGGGTTTGAAAGATTTCTAGAAATATGCAGTTAATATATACATATAGATGGCAATATAAACAAAGGAGGAAAAAAATAGAGCGACATTGATTATTGAAAAGCAAATAGAATTAAATATGAAATAATAAATAATGGAGAGAGAGAGAGAGAGAGAAAGAGAGATGAAAATGCCGAGAGGAATATTTTAAATCGCAAATAATTCGTACGCAGATTTATATTTTCTGCATTTATCACATATTTCTATTAATTTTTCTATATATAAAATGTAAATATTCTTTTTTATTTTCAAATAAAAATATTAATTAATAAATAATGAAAATAAAATATCAAAAATAAATAATAAATAAAAATGATTAATAAAATTATTTACCGGTCAATTTATTATTCAAAGTTAATTATTATTTCTAAAATTAATTTTTATAATAAATGGAAAAAAAATGAAAATAATAAACTTGTTTCTTTTTCAAATGAAAAAATATTTAATTTTAAATTAAAATAAAAATTCGCATAATAAAAAAATAGAACAATATTACGTGGAATGATGAAAAAAAGTTGATGTTTCGTGAAAAATTGATAACGGTGTTTTTTTTGTTTTTCGAAATCACAAAAAAAGAAACCGGCTGGTACAATTTGAGAGTTTCAATGATAATGTAAAAATAATAATAAATACAATTGATTTAATGTAAAATATGTTTCGATATAAATGATGAAAAATTGAATGCGGTCCAGTAAGATGCGACAACACATATGTATATATAAAATATCGAATGTTTTAAACGTTTTGCTTTTGACACACTTTCATTGTGATGACATTTTACAGTTATCTCCAGTAGGTCGACTCACCTTTTTGCTCCGATACATTCAATACTTCCTCACCATCAGGGCTCTGTAGAATTTTTTTTTTTTTTTTTTTTATTTATTTATTAACACTTAAAACATTTTTCAGATCTTTTTTTGTTTGAGATTTCCGCGAGAAATTTTATTTTATTTTTTTTGTTATTGCTTCAAGTTGTTTTTTCTCAACATTTTTGTAAAATGTTGATATTGTGGAGTTTCGAAAGAAAAGACTGACTTCCACGTACGAAGCACAGTACTGGTGTGTCTTTTTAATACAGTGTCAGATATACAATCAAAGTGGTACAGGCACAAATACACATAAGTAGGGAGAGACTTTCATCCAACACAAAGATATTATAATATCCCTCCATTCCCGCGGAAGGAGAACGATATTGAAAAGAGAGAGAAGAAGAAGAAGAAGAAGCGTCACTTCAACAACTGATGAGGGGGCGTACTAAAAAGCGGTAGATTCAAATAATAGAAAATACAAGTCTAGAAAGAGATTTTCGAAAAGAAAAAAGTATAAAGGATTATTAGTTTGAAAATAGATATTTTTTTCGCTTAAAATACTCACTTTTTGTCTCAATATTCTCCGATTTTTCAAAATGTTCCTTAGAAGAAGATTAATAACTTCTTTTTTCCAATAAATAAAAATTTCTCGTCAATTATTTTTCTCGAAAATGTCCATCCTGAAAAAGAAATAAAATAATTAGTATCAAATTTACTTCAATAAATAATAATAATAATAGTATTAATTAAAATATTTTTAAATTATTACTAACAAAATTAATGATAATTTAATAATAAAATTTAAATTAATAATTAAGATATTTACTGGCCTCGGATCAACTTTAAAAAGCAAAAAAATTCGATTTTTTAATTTAATTAGTTAATAAATATTTTATTTTAAATATCTAATATTATTGTAGATTATTTAATTTATTTTTTCATTCCTTAATAAGAATAATTCTCCGAGAATATTATCAAGAATATTTATTTCGAATATTTCAAAACCAAACTAAATTTTCAAAATTTTAATTAAGTAGAACAAATTTCTAAAAAAAAAAAATGTTAAGTTCCTTTAAAAAAATTTTTTAAATCCTTATTTATGCAAATAATTTTAATTTAAAATTTTTGCATTGTTTTTAGTTTTAATATTAAAAAAAAAAAAAACTTCGGAAAATAATTAAGTTGAAGCTTTTTTAAATATTTGAATATTTAAAGAAATATTGAAATTATTAAAAATAATAATTGAATTTTTCAAAAGTTACAGTTAAAATTTTTAGAAATAATTGAATTTTAAATAAATTTTTTAAAATTTCACAAAATAGCAAAGAATTTATCAAATAATTTTAGATAACATTTTTTAAAAATAATAATTGAATTGAAAATAGTTTAAGATAATTGAATTTATAAAAAATTTAATTAAAAAATAATTAAAAGAATAATTTAAAGAATAATTTTAGTTAAAAATTTGGTAAATAATTGAAATTAAAAAGATTTGAAGAAGATTTGTAGTGTATAATAAAAAAAGACATATTTTGTGTAAAAATTTTGTAAAAGTAAAAAAAAAAATTCGAAAAAGCAAAAAAAGTAAAATAATCGTATAATCCGAGGCCTGCAATTAGAAATAATAATAATAATTATTATTAATTAAAATAATATTTTAAATTACCAACAAAACTAATGATAATTTAATAATAAAATTTAAATTAACAATTAGTTATTTGTTATTACAATTTTAATATTTTTGTTTATCGCAAATGAAACTAATTTCGTTCTTGTTTAATTAAAAAAAAAAAATATTGACAAAAAAATTAATTCGCTAATTGGAAATTATAATTACAAAAAAATAAATTATTCATGTAAAACTATGGAAATAATGACTTAAAAAAACAAATTGATTTAGAAAAATATAGAAAATGTGATTTAAAAAAATATTTTTAAATAAAATAAAAATAAAATAGTTTATTAAATTAAATAAAAAAAATTAAAATAAAATAAAATAATAAAATTTAAATTACAATGATTATGAGAAAAAAGGAAATTAAACGAAATTAGTTGTACAAAAACATTAAAATTGTGTATACAAAAGCGTTTATTAATGATTACTGTACATTGAATTAATATTAATTATAATTATAATCATTTTATAATTAAAAATTATAATTATTGATTATAATTACTCATCAGGTACAACTTATGAATAGTCATACAGACTTTATTTTTTTTTTTGTAAACGACAAAATCATGTTTTTAGTTTCTCCTCCTGTGCGAGTAATTGATTTTTAATTTTTTGCAAAAGCTCCTTTTTCACAGTGTCTGGAACGAGACTTCTTGCTTTTGGCGTCACTGAACCCAATAATGAATCATAAGTAACGTCCTGTCCATTTTCCTTAATAATATCTTTGCAAATTATTTTCACTTGATCCCTCCAACCACATTCAACAAGACGACGTCGTAAAAGTTCCTTTAATCTAGAAAAAAAAAATCAAAACAAAACTCTAACCAAATTCTTTAATAGAAAATAATTACAAATTTTTTTAGTAAATTTATCTAAATCAATTATTGTTATTAAATTCAAAAAAGGCAAACTACCGGTTAGAATACAAAGAAATATATTTACCCATCGCGATCTCCTGACATCACTAATTTTTGATGTGCTGCACTTTTCATCGTTGATAATTTTTCTTAATAAAAAAAAAAAATAGTTTGATTATAATCTTATAATTAAATGAAGCAAATGATCTTTTTTTTTTTGACGTTTTTCTCTGTTTATGTTTTTATCGTTTAGAGGTTATGTTTAAATAGTAATTCGAAAATACACCAAAAGATGGCGCGATTTTTTTTTTTTTAAATTTAAAAATAAAATAATTATATTGTAAATTAATAATTATTTTATTAATCACAATCAATAAAAAGAGTAAAACAGAAAAATTTGACCTAAAAAAAATTCTTACAATAAAAAGATAGTAATTTAAATACATTAAATGTCAAAAAAAAAAAATTAAAAGTGCTAAATAATAAATATATTTTTTAATAATTACAATATAAATATTTATATATATATTTATTCGTTTTTAATACCTAAAGACAATTTATCTAAAAGTTTAAATGCATATAAGACGTACTCTAAATTCACAAGATTTCTTAAAGTCCAAGAAATCATTTAAAAACAATTGCATCCTTGTGCTTTATCACAAATATTATGACATTTCTTAAAATTTATTTCTAGAAATATCTAGAAGGATATTTTTTTTTTCTTCTTACATCAATTAACTGAGAAAAGCGTTTAAAAAAAGTTTTTATACCTAATATTTATATATATATATTAATTGGTAGACTAGATTTCCTAAAATAAAATTGGAGTCTATATATGTAAAATACATATATAAAAATTAAAATTGGAAACCGTATGTCACAATAGTTAGAAAAAAAACAGAATTTGTTTTTTTTTTTTTGTTATATTACAAAATGCCGCTTAAACGAGGCATATTTATAATATTGATTAATTATCTTAATTTCTTTTTTTTTTCCTTTTTAAATTAAGATGAATCAACATTAGTCTCGGGATTCGTTATTTCGACTTCAGGTATTTCATTTGGTAACAATGCAGACTCTCTGCTTGGCATCTCGATTCAATCTGTCCGAGTAACATTTCTCGATATATTTGAATTAGTGCGGTAAAGATAGACTTGTAATAATATTGATACGTCAATTAACACTTGTAGTGCTCCACAAATTCCAAATTGAATTGGTGCATCGCGATGTATAAAATAACAAGTCTTAAATGTATCGCCACATGTCCACATCAACACCATCACAACACTGAAAATTTTAATGCGATATTTATTTATTATTCAGATTCACAATTTTTTTGTTTTTTTTTTGTTTTAATATTCAATAATTATATTTCATTTATTAAGTTTTTTTGGAACTGTCTTTTTTTTAATTTTTATTATCATATTTAATTTAATTTAATTTAATTTTAACTTAACTGAATTTTAATTTCAATTTCAATTTGTCAGGAAATTCTGTGAAAATTTAGCAGAATTTTCATAGGACAGATTTTTTATTTAACCAAAATTTTATAAAGCACAATTTTCATTTCATTTAATTTGATTTCTAATTAAAAGAATTTTTTCTTAGAGTCTATACATATATTTAACCGAATTTTCACATAAATTTTTCATTTAACCAACATTTTTATTTAATCGGATTTCTATTTAATCAAATATCAAATTTACAGATTTTTTTACACAAAAGAATTCTTATTTACCTAAATATTCTCTCAACAAATTTTTTTATTTAACCAAAATTTTATAAAGCAGAATTTTCATTTAATTTAATTGAATTTCTAATTAAATTTTTGAGTCTGAATTTTCATATAAATAAATTTCTATTTAACTAAAATTTTTAATTAATCAAATATAATATATCAATTTTGCAGAATTTTTATTTAACTGAATTTTCCATTAAAAATATTGTTTTATTTAATTAAATTTCAAAAAGAAGAATTAATTTAATTTAACCGAAAATCTAATTGAGAATTTATATTTAATCAAATTTTTGTATAATATTCTTTATATTATTATATTTCTTAATTCAGGCCTCGGATTGATTTTAAGGCGCAAAAAAAAGACGATTTATATTTCAAAAAAGTCGATATTTTATTTTAATTAAATTTAATTAGTTAATAATTATTTTACTTTAAATAATTAATATTATTAAATATTAAATCCATTTTATTAATTCCTTAATAATAATTCCATAGGAATATTATCAAGAAAATTTATTTCTATTTCAGAATCGAAGAAGTAAATTTAAAAATTTTTTAATTAAGTTAGACAAATTACTAAAAACAAAAATTCTGACAATTTTAGAGTTTTTGAAACTTTTTTAAATAAATGAATTTTTAAAGAAATATTAAAATTATTAAAAATAATTGAGCTGTGAAAGAGTATTTTTTTTTGAAAAAATATTAAATTTTAAAAGGTTTTAAATTGAAATTTTTTAAATTGGAATTTTTTAAAATTGAAATTTCTTTTAAATAAAAATTTGTATCGATAGAAATTTGCTTTAAAAAAAATAATTGAATTTTTTTTTATATTATTATTATTATAATCCAAAATATTGATCATTATTTTTTTTTACAATACTACTAAATTACTATTATTATTTATTTAATTGAAATAAAAAAATGTGGTTTGATTTTAATAATTATCGTTTTTTTTACGCATTTTACTATTTTATTATGTAACTTTTCCTCAAAGACTATATAGTCGCAGTTATATATATTTTCATATAATTTATCGTCAAGAAAAAATAAAAATGAAAAGATAAAATGACACACACAAACCTCATGCCTTCCGTTGACTTATTACCGCAATTGCGTATAAATTGAGGTACGCCTAACATTGCTTCAGTTAATACAGCCAACAATCCCACTATCTCAACGAAAATAAGAACATCCACGAAGAAATACATTAAAGCTCCACAAATCATTCCAAAGATCAGGATAAAGTTGAGATACGATTGGAAGTCTGTCCATTTCCAAAAGAATTTAATGTCCAAATCTATTGAAATTAGTAGTAAAAAAAAAAAAAAAGAAAGCACAATGATTGTTTTTTTTTCTTCTCCTGTTTAGTCAATTCTGTTGCTTTGAAAAAGGAACAGAATTCAATTTGTTTTAGAAATCACGAGAAAAAAAAAATGTAAATTTATTTATAATTACAAAAATTTCGTCAATATTAATTTTTTAAACGAAAAAATTACAAAATCAAAAAAAAATAATTGCAAAAAAATTTTGTTTGTAAATAAACAAATTACAAAATTAGAATTTTCAGAAGAAAAAAAATTATTTTCAGCATAAAATTAGTTGCATATTATTAAAAAATAAAAATTTAATTCTCTTACCAGTAAAAACTCTTTCTCTGGATTTTATAATTTGATTTTTGGCACGGATATTAATACACAGCCTAATCATTAGAAGCATTGTGATAATCATAAGAATACTTTGTAATAATAAAGGCAATTCGAATCGTTTTCCAAACCTAAAAATCGGGGAAAAAAATACATTTATTAATTTTATTATTGTAGATTATAAATAAAAATACATTTTTTTTTTTAAATTATCACCAAGAATGAAAATGAAATAAAATAATAAAAAATAACTCAATAAGAATAAAAATATTAAATAATTTTAAATTAGTAAAATTTTGTAACACTTTTATTGATATTAATGAAAATTAATTCACGATTTTAAAACATGAAAGTGAATTATAATTTACATTTAATTGTTTATGAATAATTTCAACACAATTGAATTTAAATTTGTAAACAAAGTATATTAATTAATTTATTAGTATTTTTTTTTTTTTGTTAATACATACCAGAAAAGGATCCGCAGAGTATTGGCAATTAATAGAGCTAAACAAACATAAAGTGAAAAACCCTCAGGATCTTCTTTATTTTTAATTTGTCTATATTGTGGAATATATGGCACAACACCACCAAAAATCATTGCACCTGATGCAATCCATCCAGCGACATTTGCAAATGTTATATCCTCCCAATTCTCCAACATTTTTGTTTCGTTAAAATTTTATGATTTTCTAAACGTGGCATTTAAAGATAAGCTAACTAATTGAAATGTAACCTTTTCATCACAGAAAAAATATATCAAAAGTTACAATCAAGTTATGATATATATGATGATTCATCGCGTCAATATCTTAATCATTATTTATTTCTTGTTTTGTGTAACTGAAAAAAAAATAACCTGTTGATAAAGAGAATGTATGTAATATATATTAACATATATAATGAATAATGCAAACAAAAAAAAATTAAATCATACAAAAATCTATATTCAAATATAGGTTATGTTTTATAATTATTAAAATTTTACTATCATTAATTTCTTTTGATTTTAATGAATGATTTTTGAATATTTAAATTGTTAACTACAATTAATAATATTAAGTTTAGAAAAAAAAAATGGAATAAAAATTAATTTTTTACCTTAGAAATGTTTTGTTAGAAATGTCAAAACAAAAGTGTCACCACACGCCATCAGCTGCTGACGATGATTATTGGAACTAATTCTTAACCTCGCCACACAATTCACGGATCTTTAATTTGTATATGATTTTTAAAGTTTTTTAAAAACAATTTTTTAAAAAATTGCACATTTTTGATTGAATAAATGATAAAAAAAATAATATCATTTAATTCTTCTAATTGAAAAAAAGTAAGTTTTCTATTTTTCAATTTTGCAAATTGATATTTTTTTGGCACATTCGCATTATTTTCAAATACAAAAAACCTACTTTTTCATAATAATAAAAATATTTTTAAAACAAAATTTGATTCTATTGTTTAGTGTAATAATGGATTTCTTTTTTCTTTTTTTTTCTATTAGAATTATGGCATCATCCAGGGCATTAGGATATCAAATTCTACGACAAAAACGTTTTTTATATAATTTATCAAGTACTTCATTGTGTTGCATAAAAACTCCTATTATTAATTCTCAAGCTTTTTATTCAAATAATCAAAATAGTATGCCAATAAAAAGTGAACAATCGAATTCTAAAAATCAAATTCAAACTGGATTTGCGGATGTAGGTAAAAAAAAAAATTATTTTTTTACTTTATTTTCCATTTTTCCTATTTTAAGGGGAGTCACATCAACCTTTATTTTCAGTCTTGTAAAAAAAAAAATCAAAATTTTAATTTGTGACCATTTTAGAATTTTTATTTTCTGCAAAAATTAACTTTTAAAATTATAAAAGCGTTGAAGAAAAATTGGCGATAAAAAAAAAAAAAAAAAAAATTGTAAAAGAAAATAGATATTTAAAATGTTAAAGTTTTTTTAGACTTTAATTTCTAAAATAGTCAAAAATTTTATTTTTTTTCACCATTAAAATATAAAAGGACTTAAAAAAAAGGATGATGATTCCCGTTAATAAAAATTTTGAAAAAAAAAATATAAAAATTTTCTTTCATTGTTTATAGTCAAAGAAAACACAAAATCCGCTTGGTACTTGAGTGTAATTGTTGGAGGAATTGGAATTACTGCTTGTATTTTTTATACAATATTAAAAGAATTATTTTCCGAAAGCAGTCCAAATGGAATTTATAAAAAAGCCGTGAAACGATGTTTACAAGATTCGCGAGTTTTAGATGCACTTGGGGAACCCGTTAAGGCATACGGGGAAGAAAGTCGTCGAGGACGACGAAATCACGTGAGGTATATTTGATTTTGAAAAATTGTATTTTCAAAATATTAGTTTAATTTAAATTAATAATTTATTTACAAAATTTCCAACTAATAGAATTTTCAGTTAAATAGAATTTTCAGCTAAATAGAATTTTTATTAAAAAGAATTTTCATTAAATTGATTGTAAGCAAATTTCTCACATTAAGACGAATTTTTAATTTAATCGAATTTTATAAAGCAGAATTTTCGTTTAATTTAATTGGAATTTCGAATTAAAAGAATTTTCATATAAAATTTCTATTTAACTATATTTTTATTTAATCGAATTTCTGTTTAATCAAATATTAATTTTGCAGATTTTGAATGTAAGCAAATTTTCACATTAAGATGAATTTTTATTCAACCGAATTTTTGAAAAAAAATCTGCCAAGAGGATATTTAGCTAAATAAAAAATATATTTAATAAAAATCTGCTAAATGGACAATTAAATAAAAATTCAATTAACCCCTTAACTGCTGATGACAATTTGAAACACAAAATTGTCGTCATCGCAGTTAAGGGGTTAAATAAGAATTTTGGTTAAATAGAAATATATTTATATGAAAATTCGGTTAAATACAGACTTAAAGAGTAATTTAATTAGAATTTTAATTAGAAATTCAATTAAATGAAGTAAATATTCTGCTTTATAAAATTTGGCTAAATAAAAAAAATTTGCCGAGATGATATTCAGTTAAATAAAAATTCTGTTGAGTAAAAAATCAGCAAAATTAATATTTCATTAAATAGAAATCCGATTAAATAAAAATTTTTGTTACAATTTTTTTTGAGTCTATATTTAACCAAATTTTCTTGTAACTTAATTTCAATTCAACTAAAAATTTTTATTTAATCGGCTTTCTATATTTAATTAAAATAAATATAAATTTTGCAGATTTTTTACTCAACAGAATTTTTATTTAATCCAATTTCAGTTTAATCAAATATTAATTTTGCAGATTTTGAATGTAAGCAAATTTTCACATTAAGATGAATTTTTATTCAACCGAATTTTTAAAAAAAATCTGCCAAGAGGATATTTAGCTAAATAAAAAATATATTTAATAAAAATCTGCTAAATGTACAATTAAATAAAAATTCGATTAAATAAGAATTTTGGTTAAATAGACATTTATTTATATGAAAATTCGGTTAAATACAGAATTAAAGAGTAATTTAATTAGAAATTTAATTAAATGAAGTGAATATTCTGCTTTATAAAATTTGGCTAAATAAAAAAAATTTGCCAAGATGATATTCAGTTAAATAAAAATTCTGTTGAGTAAAAAATCAGCAAAATTGATATTTGATTAAATAGAAATCCGATTAAATAAAAATTTTAGTTACATTTTTTTTGAGTCTATATTTAACCAAAATTTCTTGTAACTAAATTTCAATTCAACTAAAAATTTTTATTTAATCGGCTTTCTATATTTAATTAAAATAAATATAAATTTTGCAGTTTTTTTACTCAACAGAATTTCTATTCAATTCGAACTTACAGAGTTAGTTGAATTTTCATTTGGTAGGCATTTTTTGTAAAATTAAAATCAGGCTAAATGAAATTTAAATAAATAAATTTCTCAAAAATTCGACCTATAATTGAAATTCAGTTCAATAAAAATTTTAAAAGAATTTAAAAGTTAAAAGAAATTTGGTTAAATAAAAATTTGGTTAAATAGAAATATCAAATGGAAATTTAGGAAATAGAAATTTAGTTAAATAAAAATTCGGTTAAATATAGAAATTCTGCTAAAACTACGTACGAATTTAATTGTATTTTAATGTTCTATTTTCGATTATCATTTTCTTGATTTTTGTTTTATTTTCGCTTAACATCATTTTCTTCATTTCAGACACAATATTTTCATACAAAATGGAGTTAAACACATAAGGATGCAATTTTACGTTCAAGGAATTCGAAAAAGGGGCACTGTTAACTTAGAAGTCAAAGAAGTAAATTAAATTATTTTTTTTTTTGAAATTCATTTTCTATTTTTAGTAAAATATCTAAATTTCTATATTTTTGTAAATAAATTCACAATAATTAAATTAAATCTTCAACATAATTTTTTTTTCTTACAGACAAAAAGTGGAGATTTTGAATATAATTATTTAATTATAAAATTGGAAGACATGCTTCGCTCAACTATTATTTTGGAAGACGGTCGCAATTCCGTTAAAAATACAACTTCATCTGATGAACTACCATCTCCATTGTTTTGAATATTTACAAAATCAGAAAAAAAAAATGTTTGAATTCCCTTATTTTGAGAAATTATTTCTCAAATTAGTTCATCATCTTCCTGTAAATATTTATATATTTTTCATTTTATATAAAAAAAACTTTTTAGATATTTGTTGTTGAATTAACAGAAAAAAAACGTAATTGACGATTTATGCTATTAAAAATAAAAAATGTTATTCAAAAAAATAATATTTTTCCCTGTTATACTTTTTTTATTTCTTTTCCTTATTTAATTCTCTCAATTAATTCTATAAAGGGTTATTAAGTAATTTATTTTTTTTTTAATATAAAAAAAAGACTAAAAGCTTTGTTCAGCTTCTTTTTTTTCAATTTGAATCTTTCACGGTTGAGCGATAATTATAAGACGGGGTGTGTCGAGGATACATTGGATTACATACGGAATTGTATAATATATATATGCATCGTTCTTTTTTAATTGTCTTTGCAAAAATCATAATTTCAATACCATATAAATATTTACGATAATCGAAAATAAATAATTAAAATATAAATTAAATTCCATAAACTATTTTGAATTTCATAGGAACATTTCCATTTTGTCGAATTTTAATAAATTAAAATTTAATAATATTGAAGCAAATGTTTTCATTATGAAATTTTTATTAAAGCAAACTTCAATTTAGCAGAATTTCAAATTTTTTTAATTAATAAATTCTTTAGTTCCCTGAATTTTTATATTTAACAGAAATAAAAAAAATTTCGATATTAAAAATAAATTCATTTTTAAAAATTTGTTTTAAAAGTTTTATCTAATTAGCTTTGTCAAATTAATGATTTCACACCAAATCAAGTGTAAAGATAATAATAATAATGAAGAAAACGTGGGCGAATTAATGACTTTATTTTGTCATTTTTAATTGTTAATTCAATTAGCGTTATCAATTAACATTAACGCACAAAAAATTATTTAAAAACAATATTTTATTAATATAATATAATTAATGTTGAAAGTAAAATATAATGACTGACCTGAAGAAAAGAAGCGGCTAATTAATTCTCCATATCATCATCATCATCATCATCATTGGTTAAGAGATGGAAATTCTATTGAAGACTATTACAACTGTACAAGGTGTCGATATAAGACACCTATATTCTCCACTGGTTTTGTTTCAGTTGTTTTTCTACCAGCAAGGCGAGTCGTTTACTCATCAAGATTTACTTTTTCTTATTATAGTATAAATCCAAATGGTATTTTTAACATGACTGATTGTCGATAAAACGAAACCGAATTTGGATAATCGGTTGCATCACACACATAATTCTCGTAAAAGGACTCCTGCAAATGATAGAATAGTGAATCAGTGATTTTAATTTATAAATTTCTTTTTTGAGTGAATTCAAAAAAAAAAAAAAAAGGAAGAAAAAAAAATGGGTTGCATTTTTTCTTGCTGTAAACCGAGGCGTGATAGTGGACGTTATGAAAAACCACCTTTAGAAAGCGGTGAGAATTTCTTTTTTTATTTACATATTTTCCTTATTTGAAATTTATCATGAAAAATTCGAATTTCGAATTTAATCACTAATTATAAAAATACAATTGCAATTCAATTACGAATTAGAATTTTAAATTATAGAAATTTATTCTTTTTGGACCAGTGAAGAAATTAAACTGAAAATTCACATTTTCAAATTGGAATCATCATCAATTAAAAAATAAAAATTAAGAATATTATTTAGAAATTATTTATTTCGAGTAAATTTTCAAAAAAAAAATTTCTCTCTGATAACTTTAATTTCAAAAAGTGATAATAAAAGAATTATTGATTTTTCTAGTAAAAAAAATAAATTTTCTTTCCAAAATTAATAGAATTTTCAAATATTGTCCAACGAACTTGAAATTATTTTCACGTTTTCATAATTAGATGCTCTAATTCTTTGAGGACACATTAATTTATATACAATGAAGAGATGAAGTTTGAGAAAATTGTTAATACACTTTTGAAAATTATATCTTTAAGCAAGGTGAATGTAATTTTTTTTTCAAACAAAAATAAACTGAATAAATGTCGGAAAAAATTAAAACATTTAAATTATTATTTTTCTATAAAATAAATTTATTAATAAATTACTAAATTAATTAAATAAAATTCAAAAATAAAAAATTAAATTAAAATTTAGGCTAGCCTGTTAACTCAAATAAATAAATAAATAAAATTATTAATAATAATATGAATCGTACGATGGTGAATAATTCCACATAAAACATGTAAAAATTGTTTATTTTTTTTGAATAATTAAAGAAATACCATAAATATAAAATAAAGTGAGTAAAGATTCAGTAATCCAAATTCAAAACTCAAGGCATTTGATCTTCCTATTAAAAAGGTTAATCGACTGCAGTCGAGGGTGAAAGAAATTAATTGCCATCACATCGCGAATTTTAAATGAAGATTTTTTTTACAATTAGTAAATCTAATTTATTGATTATAATCACGCCAATGTAAATATTTTCACTATTTTGTATATTTTTAATTATAAATTTGTTTATAAATTTGATTATAAATTTGATTATAAATTTGATTATAAATTTGACTATAAATTTAATTATAAATTTATAATTATAGTTTATATTAACTATAACGATAATTATTAAGTAAAAATAATAATTATTAAAAATATTTTTCAAATGGAGAACAAAATTTTTCGAATTATTTAATAAAACTAATTTTTAAAAAAATTTGAAGTGTTGAACTGACAGTTGTAAAATTTCAACAAGAAGGATATATTCATTTTCAAAGTGTGTTTGTTTGTAAAATGGAATTGGTTCTTGAAAATAACTTCCTTGGTCAATTTCTTGAAATAGATTTTCATTATTTGTAAAATAAATAATAATTTACTAAAAGAATGGAGTTTTATAAATTTAATAATGTCACTAATAATTAATAATATAATAATTATATTATTACCTCTAATTTTTAAATATAGGCCTTATCATTTTTATTTTCAAACAAAGAATTTAAAAACGGATTTTCAACTTCATAAATAAGAAATTAATTTTAATTTAATTATTTTTCGAAGAAGAAAATAAATTTGATTAAAAAATGATTAAAAATAACATTAGGTTGCTAATTACTGTAAAGAATTCTTTGAAAATCGTGAGAAAACAATTATACATAATTACTTAAATTATTAAATATTATTGTTTATTATAGTAATCAATAAGAATTTGATAAAAATAATAAAGTAACTGTTTTGATTTTGTTTTACAATTACTGTCTGTTAATTACATAGATTGGGGATTGTTATAAATTTTTTATTTATACAACTAAAGTCAATTCTTGTCAAAATTTTCTGATATTCATTAAATTAATTTAATTTCATGAAATATAATTTCTAAATTTACATTTAGTAAGTACAAAGAGTAAAAAAAATCAATTTTCATTTTACATTAATTTATATAATTAACAATAACTACCAAGATCACCAAGTATGATAATAATTATAATTCAAGTATTAGATAAATGCAAATTATATTGATACTGTCAAGTGGGAATAAAATATTTGCTAGTAAAATTTAAAAGTAAATTTTTTTTTTCATTTTTACATAATGTTTGAGAAAATAAAGATATTTTTAATACTTTTTTAATTTTTGTTTTAATATTTTTAAGTAGAATTTAGACTGTGAAAAATTTTTTAATTTTAATTATTTAATTAATTTTTTGTCTTTAATTTCATTTTAAAATGGAAAAAGAAAAGAAGATGTAATGTGACGAAAAAAAGAAGGAATTAAAAATTACTATTTCCGTTTTCACGTATAAGAGACCTTGACTTCGATAAGGACATAGTGTATTGGCATATATAAAAACTTGCACTTGATCATTATATTTAGAAGTCAAGGACTCAAGTCTGCCATGAATGAAAGTGAAATTACACAACTTTTGCAGTCCAAGTGGATGATATCACGTCTTCTTACAAATTTCTATTAAATCTATTCGCCCACTTATTTGATAATAATTTTTAATAATTCTCATACAAAAAAGTTTCAATACAATTTTTTCAAAATAATTTTTTCTTTCACCGTACAATTATTTTCCAAAGAAAAAAAAATTATAATTCTCAGTTATCTATTTTTCTTTTCTTAATTGAAATTATTTTCTTTAATTTAATCGAAAATTAAAAAATTTAATTTAACCATTTTAATAATTTAATTTAATCGTAAATTTAATAATTTATTTTAATAATAAATTAATCATCCAATTAATTAAATAATAACTATTCAGATAAAAATAAATTTTTATGGCTCCTCTAAAGGGAAGCAAAATAATTTCAAATTATCAAGTACTTTTTTTTGCTCCAAATTGTAAAAATTATTTTGAAAAAAAAAAGAAAATTTGGTAAAACAAAAAAGAGTTTTTTTTCATATAATCTTATATAATGAAATGCGAAACATGATTTCATCGGCGATCAGAAAAACTGTTTATAACTGTAAATGTATAATAAATCAATTGGTCTAGACAATTATTCTATTACACGTATAATATATTAATCACTGACAAAAAAGAGATTTATTTTCAAAAACAGTAGGCGATTTCTTTGTCTTTATTTAAAAAAAATAATACTTTTCGTTTCATTATTGGAAACCTTTATTTTTTTTAAACTATTATTTGAAAAAAAATTAATCATTGACAATGATTTCAAAAATTGATTTTTTTATTTCTTTAAATATTAATTCACAAAAATTTGATTTCACTATTTTTTCTAGGTAATTTCATTAATTTTTTTTTAATTATTTAATATTTTTATTATTATTTATTTAACTGTTTTTTTTTATTATTTTTTTTTACCATTAGCGAATTATTTACAGCAATAAAAAGTTGTGGAAAAAATAATTTGAAAAAAATAAATAATTTTGTCTCAAATCAAAAATTTGATTAAAACAAAATTTTGTGTAAAACAATTTTGTTCGCAAGCAAAAAAGTCTTTTTCAGTGGCATATTATGAGGAAAAAAAAAATGTCATTAAATTGTTACATGAAAATATTATTATGATGAAATCGAGTGTGGTAAGAGTTAAAACATAATAATAGGCATAAATATAGAAATTTTAAATTATGCACATCTATAATCATACTTCTTGTGTATACGACAGGGTTTATTACACTTTGAGAGAGTTTAAAACTCACACCTACAAGAATAGCACTGTAATTTTCTTAAAAAACCACATTTTTTTTTTTTGAAAATTTATAAATTAAAATAAATAATTTTTAAAATTAATTAAATAATTGTATTTTAATTTTTTTTAACATTCACAGATAACAAACAATAAAATGGAAACTATGACATTTTTTTTTCATGATAAAATTAAAAAATACATATTTGTACTTCCTGTAAATATAACGAATTTGTGCTATATGTAAATATTATAATAATTACGTAAAAGATGATACATTCTTAAAACAATTTTATAGCCAAAAAAAAAAAAATTTCTATTTTTTTTTTGTATATTTAATTTTATGTTTTTCCACTTAAATTTAATTATTATTGATAAAAAAGAGTATAATTATTTTTAAAAAATCTAATTATTCTTTGCCGTAAAACTATAATCAATAAATAATAATAAATTCCTTATTTATTGACTTTAATTAACGCAATTTTAATTTATTTTTCTACTTTTTTGCACAGATTTTTGCAATAATTTTAAACAAGGTCTATGTATGGGATCAATTTTTCGGAAACTATGCGGAATAACAAAAAAAGTTGAAGGTAAAAAAAAAAAATTATCAAAGTAATTTTACAATAAATTAAATTTTTAAATAAATAATTTAATATTTATTTTAATATTATAAATTTTATTATATTTTAAGTTAAAATTTTTGTACATTTGCCAATGTTAAAATTTTGAAAATACTTCAAACAAAATTCTTCACGTCACAAATATTTCAATAAATCAATAAAGAAACGAGCTAACAAATGAAACACAAAATAAATATATATATTCTATTTGCATTTTGCTAATTCAGATCAAAAATAATTTTTTTTTCTTTCAAATATGTCTACAATAATATTGTTTAAAGGATATTGAAAATTAATTCTTTTTTGCAATAAAAAAAAAAAAAATTTTTAAATACAATTCCGGAAAATTTTAATCCTTTAGGATTACCATATTGAGAAGTACTCGAGAAAAATAATTTTTTTTCTCTTACACAATAATATTTGAACGTGGGCGAAATAATTTCGCAAATAATTCACTATTAAGGGAAAAAATTATCTCTAAATAAAAATAAATAATTAACTCTAAATATAAAAAAAAAAAATAAAATAATTTCTATTTTTAATAAAATCAATTTTATGTTAATGCGATCTCTTGCAATTTTTTTTCCCTCCCATAAATTTTATAGTCTGAAACCATTTATGGTCGCGGCACTTGATATAGAAAGAAGAGACCTTGAGGATTTTCTCTTAGATTTTCAAATAGAATACAACAAGACTGTAGGTTTTCATTTTTTTTTCTTTTATTCTTTATTTTTTCAAGTGAATTAATTCTTTATGCACCACGCAGCTTTTGCTGCACATGTGTCTCATTTCGTAAAATAGAAGATATAACTTGGTTGAGTTGTTCAATCGCGTGTGGCAAAAAGGAAACAAGTGATTCGCACAGTGCAGATACTGTTTTTCTCACACACATTTTCAAATAAAATAATAATAATAAAAAATCAGTGCATTTGTGTCTCGATTAAAAATGAATTACAGATTTTATGATCGTTATCGTATTTTTAATGATCGACGTCGCGGTCGATTCCCCTATAGAATTTACTGTAAGTTGAAAGAGAATAAAAAAAGAAAATTATTTTTTCCCTTCAAATAAAAATAAAATTCAATCTGTATTTCTGTAATTTTTTATTATAACGTGCTGGCATTCTTTTCATTTAATTTTTTCTTTTATTTCCAGTTTATTTTTCTTAAAACAATTTTTTTAAAATTTCTGTTTCTTATTTTAATTTTTGTTTGTTTTTTTTTTTTTTTAAATAAAAGATTAGGATTTTTTTTTCAATTTCAGACGAGGACTATAGATCGTCAATTTTGACAGTAACAAGCGTGGATCCATTGATTGTGGAAAATGGCAAAGCGCATAAAACATCGAAATATGAATTAATGAATCGAATTGGAAAGGACGCGCGACTCGTTATTCGTCGGGGTCAAGAATTTTACATAAATCTCACACTATCGAGAAATTACGATCCGATAAATGATGGAATATCATTAGTATTTACATTGAATGGCGTTCCACATGTATCAAGTGGTCTTGGAACATTGGTGGCAATTCCAGTTTTAGAGGAAAATGAAACTTCAAATGGAACATGGCAGGCAAACATCGATAAATTAGAAGAAAATGAAATGCGAATCAAGGCAAGTAGAAAAAATAAATATAATAAAATTAGAAAAACAAAAAATAAAATTATATTTAATTTTCTTCTAAAACTTTAAAGAATTTGGGGGGAAAAAAAAATCTTCATTACAGAAAAGAGAGAACACATTTATTTTAAAAATATCAAATTCTTAAAGAATTTTTGTAAAAGAAACAAAATTTTGCAAATTTTTAAAAAAATAAATTGAAAAAAATTTTTCAGATAATTCCAAATGCTGATGCAATTATTGGAAAATGGAAAATTGAAATCGATACAAAAAGAAAAGACTCGGGTGGTGCAATAAGTTTCAGTTTAGAGGAACAATTTTATCTGATTTTTAATCCATGGTGTAAAGGTATATTGAAATTTATTATATATATATGTGATTTTATATTTAGAACTTGATGAAGAAATTAAACCACTTCTTGAAATAGTTTACTACATCGTCTAGAAATAAGATCATGAGTAACTAATTAGAAATTTACAAATCCTCAATTTTAATATACGATTTTTTTTTTTAATTTGATACCGATTTTAATTAATGTAATTCGATTATGGATTTATAAAAAATTGTGATTCACTGAACAAAAGGAACACTATATTCCTGTTCAGGGTTCCTGTGTTAATTAAATAATTTCAATATACGCAAATTGTCATTTTATAAAAATTAAAATGATTGTAATCAAAAAAAGAGTTTTCTATGCAGCTTAAGATTTATAAATTATTTATGATCTACTTGACACAATTATAATAATAATCTTTATGCGTCAATCACTGTCAATGATTTTCATTATGGAAATTTATTTAATTCGAAATGCATAAAATATTCGCCCAAAAAATCCTAAGTTTTCTTCAATTTTTCAAAATTTATAAAGTCAAATTTTGTATTTAATCGAAAATTTTATGGAATTTTTTTTTAACATGTAGAATTTAACGAAAATTCTATTTCAAATATTAAATTTTCTAGAAAAATTTATATTCAGCCAAATTTTCACAAAGAGAATTTTTATTTTGCCAAATTTATATTTAGAATTTTTCTATTTAACCAAAATTTTTACAATAAATAAAAAATTTTGTTTAATAAAAATATTATTCAACTAAATATAATTTCAGCAAATTAAAAATTATTTTAAATATGAAAATTATATACGAAATAAAAATTTGATATTATACTGAAAATTCCAACTAATTTCTTTGGCAATAATTTTGCATTAAATAAATTACTTTTCATTGAATTACAAAAATAATTTATTTAAATAAAAACAAAAATTATTTTTAAAATTTAAATATTACTTTGTTTTAATAGTAATTTATTATTTAAATTTGGTCATTTTTTTGCAGTCATTTATTTATGTAGCATTTATTTTATTAAATTTAAAAATTGAGTTTAAAAATTTTTTTTTTAAATGCCAAAATTATTAATGATTTTTTTTTTTAGATGACGCAGTTTATTTGCCCGATGAAAGCGAAAGAGAAGAATATGTTTTAATGGATTCGGGATTAATTTGGAGAGGTACTCACAATAGTATGACGTCCACTGCCTGGAAATATGCACAATTCGAAGAAAATATTCTTGAATGTGCAATATATTTAATGATAAACGTTGGAGGTGTCAGATCCAAATCGAGAAATGATCCAGTTATGATATCCAGATGCCTTTCCGCCGCTGTAAGTTTTTAAAAAAATAATTAGTCAACTATTTTTTTTTTCTCAATCGGAAACGAAAATAAATAAAATAAAAATGAAACTAATTTTCAATTAAATAAATAAGTCGGAAATGAAAATAAATTTATTTTGTTTCAAATAAAATCGAAATTGAAACTCATTTTTTTTAAATCGGAAACAAAAATAAATTAATTTTGTTTCGAATTAAAAATTGAAATAAAACTAATTTTTTGAAATTTAATAATTTTATTTTATTGGAAATGAAAATAAATTAATTTTGTTTCGAATTAAAAATTGAAATAAAACTAATTTTTTGAAATTTAATAATTTTATTTGATCGGAAATGAAAATAAATTAATTTTTGTTTCGAATAAAATGTTTCGTTGATAAAATTATAAAAATAATATTCTAAAAATTTTTCTCACGCAGATAAATGCAAATGATGACAATGGTGTATTGATAGGTAATTGGTCGGAAGACTTTCATGGTGGTACAGAACCAACAAAATGGTTGGGATCAAAAAAAATTCTACAGGAATATTTTAGAAAAAAAAAATCAGTAAAATTTGGACAATGTTGGGTATTTGCCGGTGTATTGGCAACAATATGTCGAACACTTGGACTACCATGTCGTGTAGTTACAAATTATCTCAGCGCACATGACACTGAAAATAGTTTGACAATTGATTATTTTGTCGATGAAGAAGGAAAAGTAATGAAAGAACTTAGCAATGATTCCGTTTGGTAATAAAAATATTAATTAGATAAAAAAAAAAACCATCATTCTTCACACAATTATTTAACAATATTTTCAGTCTGATTATTATTTAACCAAATAATTATAATAAAATTATTAATTAATTAATAATAATTAATTTCTATTAAATTTGAATTAATTAATTAAAATTTAACAGGAATTATCACGTTTGGAATGAGGTTTGGATGAAGAGATTAGATTTAGGACCAGAATATTCTGGTTGGCAAGCAATTGACGCAACACCACAGGAATTGAGTTCCGATCTTTTTCGTTGTGGTCCAGCATCTGTGGTTGCAGTGAAAAATGGCGAAATTCTCAAACCCTACGATAATGCATTTCTTTTTGCGGAAGTTAATGCCGATACAGTTTTTTGGCGTTACAATGGACCCTCACAACCAGTTAAACTTGTCAGCAGACGTATTGACGCGTAAATATATTTTATTAAAAATAATAATTATTATCATAAAAAAAAATTGTTCCAAAATTATTTTTCTCCTTTTTTTCAGAATTGGACTGTCAATTAGTACAAAAGCTGTTGGAAAATGGAGTCGAGAAGATATAACCGATACCTACAAACATCCGGAAAGTGAGTTTATTTTTTATATCAACAAAATAAATTATAAAGCATTTTTTAAATTTAATTAGATAATTACTGACGATTATTAAATAAAAATATAAATAATAAATTATTAATTAGTAAATTAACAAATTTATCAATTATAAATATTTATAAAGGTTAATAATTGATAAATATTAATAATTAAGTAATAAATATTAATTAAAATTAATTTTGATCAATAAGATGAAAAATATTTACATTGCGCCTGAATTTTGCTTCACATTTTCCATCAGAGACAACAGAAGAAAGAGATATCATGCTGAAGGCGTTGCGTCAAAGTGAAAGCTCATTTAGCCGATTTTATTTGAATGAAGATTTCAACGATATTAGATTTAATTTCGATCTACTTGATGATATTATAATTGGACAGCCATTCAAGTAAGTTAGAAAAAGAGCAAAATTTACAAAATTCTCCAAAAATCATAAGCTCCAATTTTCAATGAATTAAAATTTTATAATTTGTGTAAAATCTTCCACAATAGTTGAAAATTTACATTTAATTAAATTTTTTATTTAGCTGAATTAATAATTATTTATATAATAAAAAATTATTAATTAATTATTATTTATAATACAAAATTATTAATTATTATTTATCAGAAATATTTATTTAAAATAGAAAATTGCCTTTATAATGAAAAATTCGGCAAAATATAAATTTTCTGTAATTAAAATTTCAATTAAATAAAAATTCTTTATGAAAAATCGATTCAATTAAAATTTTCACTGAATTAATAATTAATAATCACTGAATATTAATTAATTAAATTTAATTAACTGAAAATTGGATTAATGATTTTTATGGATTTTAAATGGGAATTTATAATTCAAAATTAAATAAATAATAAAAAAATTTTTATATTTTTCATTTCAGTGTTCGAATGAATGTCCAAAATTTAAGTAACGACGAAGATTATCGTGTTAATTTAATTTTAAGAGTGGACGTTGTTAATTATACAGGTGTAGTTGGTAAAGAAGTGAAAAAAATCAAAATGGACAATATGTTAATAAATCCAAATGCCGATGACTCAATTGATTTGCCAGTTACTTGGAGGGAATATTCTCCTCATTTGCAAAATGACACAACTTTTCAAATTTCTTGTTTAGCAACAATTAAGGAAACTGATTTCGAATATTATGCACAAGATGATTTGAGAGTGAAAAAACCAGAAATTATCGTCAAGGTATAAAAAAAAAATTTCCAAAATTGCTTCAATTTTAAAAAAACTAAAAATTGTATACAACATTTAAACTTAAAAATATCTATTTTTTTCCTTTATGTTTTTAAATATTTTTTTAATATAATATTTTCAAATATTTTACATACCTGGTAATTATTTTGCAGGTACTGAGCGATCCAAAGGTTTATTACGAGCTTCAATGTTCGGCTGAATTTGAAAATCCACTTCCAATTTCATTGAGAAAAGGAAAATTCCTCATCGATGGTCCAGGATTGAAAAAACAATTGGAATTAGTTCTTTCACAACCCGTGGAATCAGGAGAAATTGCCAAATGTTCCTTTTCAATGATACCAAAACAATCCGGTAAAGCCACAATTATTGTCAAATTTTATTCCAAAGAATTATCAGATGTCGATGGTTTCAAAGAATTCATGGTGAAATCTGGAAATTCTTATTAAAATTCATTATTAGCCATAAAAAGAAACTATTTTATTATTGTTTAGCAATAATTTTTAAAATCAGAAAATTCTTGCGTGCCTTATAGTAATAATTATATATATATATTTATAGAAATAATTATATATATATGCTAATAAAAAAAATATTCATAAACTATCATCTAATAAATATTTAATTAAATTTTAATTTAACTAATTAAAAATATTTATTATTTTCCACTACATAAATATTTATTAGATAATAGTTTAGTAGTGAAATAATTTATTTTTCAGTGTATATATATTAAAACTGTGTTCAACTAAAATCATGAGAATTCGTATTTGTATATTACGAGTCCTCGATTTTATAGACCAAAGTTTAAATTTAAGATTTAATATTTTTATTCCTTAATTCAAGTTTTTCTTTCTTAATCCAATAATGTAAAAAAATCAAAAATTTCATAATAGTAGAAGAAATAAAATTTTATTTTATTTTCATTCCTTCCGTTAGACCTGATCTCAAAAACATCAAGAAATGGTATTCTAATTTTCTAAAATTATAAAATGTATATTTTATAATACTTTATTTTTTATAAAATATAAATTATAGAAAAAAAATTAATATATATATATACTATTGTATATTTTTAATAAAAATTTACAAGAGTTGTAAAAATTGAAAACTGTTTTTCATTTATATGTCCGAACAATTTATTTCCGTTCCTAAGTGTAAGAGGAAAAAATACAATTTCTAATTGGAGAATTGAAAAAAATTTTACTTTCGCCATTCTCAACTAATCCCTTGAATGTCTCACTTTTTGTACAAATATTAAAAGATGAAAATATTTTCATATTTAAAAAAAGTTCAATAATTTTGTTATAAATAATTTTTCTCACATTCCTATTGGCTAAAGCAAAATCAGCATGATTAAAACTAAATTCCACGTGACGATAAACAACATTTGGAAGTTCCTTCAAGAGCAATTCGATATCCTAATGAAAAAAATATATATGTAAAAATAATCATTTTTTTTTGGTAGCTAAAAAATTTTTGAGAAAAATAGATTAAAAGAATTTTTTTTTTCTTACGCTTGGAGTAGCCAAAAAATCACGAAAACCAGAAAAAATAGCCATGGGGACAGTTACATTTCCCAAAGGATAATCGGGAGGAATTAGAGAACCGTATTTTCGTAAATTTTCCTCTTTTCCATAATCGTATTGTCGAAAAGTACCTAATTTAACAAAATTCAATTTTAGACTAAAAAAAAAAATAATAATTTTAATATTTTTAATAAATTAATAAATTTTATTTCTACTTTTTTAAAATGTTTATATTGAATTTTCCCAAAAATACAATTATGAAAAATTAAATCAATAACACAACAGACCTGGATTAATAATACCAAATAGAAAATGAACAAACATTTTTGTTGAACATCCGCCAGGAAAGAGAAAAAGATTTTTTTTCAATATTGTCTAAAAAAAACAATTAAAAAAAATTTATTTGGTTGACTATTGTCAAATAAATATTTAGGAAATAATTTTTGTAACCAAATAATTGAATTAAATAAACTGTATTTGAACCAATAATAATTTTTGTATTTGTAATAAATGCCATTTGATTGACTAAAAATAATAATTATTTGATATGTCAAGTAACAGATTATTTCAATTAAATAAATTTTTTTTTTTAATCTGAATTGAATTCAGAATTTAGAATTAAAAATTTCTAAATACCAAAGAATTTATTTGCAAATAAAAAATTTTTTTTTAAATAATTTAAATAAAAATTTTTTTTTTTAAATAATTTAAATAAAAAAATAATTTCTTTTTTACCATATCCATATCATTTTGGCTAAAACCATAAATGGAGTCTTTAAGAAGACTAAAAAGAAGAAACCTCGTTATTCTATTATTGAAAAGAGAAATTGAAATAATTGACGATAAAGGCGATGAAGTTAAATCAAAATGACCTGTGCTTTCAAATATACCCTAAAAAAAAAAAATTAAATTATAAAATTCCAAAATTTTAGAGAGAATATTATATAAAAATTTTCTTCGAAAAAATTTTTTTTTTATCAAACACAAAATTTATACTCACTGATAAATAAGCAAAAATAAATCCTAATGGCCAATTAATTCCTTTAACATTTCCAGCGAATACAAGAGGTGCTAAATTCACAGCTAAACTAATTTTTTCATTATATTTTGGCATCAATGATCCCATAACAAATAATTCCGTGCACGATTGCGAATAACAGATGAAAAAAAGTTTTTTTCTTTTTGTTTTTTGTAAAATAAAATCGATTGTCTCGGGAAGATCGTAAATTCCACATTCGTGCCAGCTGTGAAAAAAAAATTAGAAATTTTTTTTTTTTAAATAAAATTATTATTATTTTATTGTTATTATTATGAGACTGTTCTCATACCAAAATGAATTCAAATTTCCAAATCGATATTAAATTCAAAAATTATATTTAAATAAATTCTGAATGAAATTGAAAATTTAGAATTGATTTTAGAAAAATTTTTTAAATTGTATTTTTAATTTCAAAAGCGAAAATTAAAATGATCATTTTGTAACAGTTTATTGCACTGAAAAAAATTTATTTGATTCAAATACTCGATTACTTGACTATTATCAAATAAATATACTTGAACCAAATAATTTTTATTTGAATGAAATAAATTTTATTTAAACCAATAATTTCTGTATTTGAAACAAATACCATTTAATTGACTCTAATAATTATTTGATACAATTAAAAATTTATTTGACTCTAATAATTATTTGATAAAATTAAATATTTATTTGACTAATAATTATTTGATAAAATTAAATATTTATTTGACTCTAATAATTATTAATTAAAAATAAATATTTATTTGATAATAGTCAAGTAATCGCGTATATTTGAATCAAATAAAATTTGTTTTTCAGTGTGTTAAATAATAATTTAACAATTAATAGTGTTAAATATAATTTTTTTTAAATAATAAAAATTTGTTTTCAAAAAATTATTAACTTGTTTAACTATTTATTAATTATAATTTTTTTTTTACCTAAAATTCCAAAATTTGGTGCTTGTTGGCATTAAAGTTTCATGATCTCGACCATAGATTGTTCCTCTATTGTTTCCCAACCAAACATCAAATCCTTTATCAGCCAGAAGATATGCTGAAACATAAACACTAAATAAGAAAATTTACTCAACACGTATGATAATATTTACCATACTGTATAAAAATAATTACCACATTTTTTATTATTAATTTCTATTATGTAATATTATTATTATTTTCCTATTATTACTATTATTACACTGAAAAAAAAAATCTATTTCATATAAATAAATATTGATTTGATAATTGTCAAGTAACCGATTATTTGAATCAAATAAATTTGTTTTTTTTAATGTATTAGTATCAATTATTATTTTAATTACATTTTAAATTATTATTTTAATTACATTTTAAATTATTTTTTAATTCTTATTTTAATTATTTTGTAAATTATTTTTAAATTATTATTTTAATTATTATTTTAAATATTTTTTTAATTATCATTTTAATTATTATTTTAAATATTTTTTTTAATTATTATTTTAATTATTATTTTAAATATTTTTTAAAATATTATTTTAATTATTTTTATTATTTAAATTTTCTTGTTATCTTACCGAGAGATATTTTTGGACCATCCATTATCCAACTAATAGAACTTTGTGTGAGGGGATGCAAAAGAAAAACAATTGGTTTATTCTTCTCATTTTTGTAACATTTTTTATCACAACCACCTGGTATTCGGTGTATTTTTAAAATGTAACCATCTTGCGTTTTTAATTCATATTCCTCGAATGGATAACCATCGTCATTAACTAAATATCTCTGCGATTTATTAATTAGAATTTAAAAAAAATATATATTTCAATTTATTCTTTTTTTTTTTTGCATTTAAAATTTTTTTTTAATAAAAATGTTTAATTATTTAAATTAAATTAATTTGACAATTTTGTGTTACTTACGATCTTTTTATCCGTATTTGGAAACTCACATGAAATTAAATTACTTTGCAAAATTAATAATTGCAAGAACACAATGAAAATTTTAATTTTACAAAGAAAATAACACATTTTTTTAAGAAATATAAACGTAACACAAACTTACACTTCACTTTAAATTTTTTTTTACGCAATTTTACGTATTAAACGTAACTATATTATTTTAAAATTGTCACTATTTTCAAGAAAAGTAGAGAAATTTTATTTTTAAAAAACCACTTTAAATTGAATATATACTGATTACTAGAAAAATAATAATTTTTATTTTTTATTAATTAATAAAAAATAATTAATAATATTTGATTATTCTTAATGAGATAATCAATGAGAATAATTTTTTGTCAATCTAATTTATTCCAAATCAAATATGATTCTAGGACCGGAGCTGAATAAATATATATCATTTTAAGTTCACTTTTTTTCTGAGTTAATGTGTTGATAACGTGCACTAAATTGTAGATAAACAACAATTTACTAACTCAAAAAAAAGAGGTTTAGGTCAAGACAAAAAAAAATTATCTTGCATATATTTGTTCCTTAATTATTTTCAAGTTACTATTTATTCTTAATATTTCTACGTTAAACCGAATTTTTTTAATGGAAAATTTTTTTTATTTAACGTAGTTTTTATTTAAAAATAATTTAATTATTTTCCTGAATCAAGAAAAAATACAAAAAGAAATCTACAATATCGGTTGGTGGTAAATTAATTATTATCCACTGATAGGAATGGACCATATAAAAATCTACAATACCGACCGGAGGCAAATAGGAACTATTTTTTTTATCGACGGCTGGCAATGGGCCATTACAGAAATCTGCAATATCGTTTGGTGGTAAATGGACACTAATACATTGATTTTTATCGACTGATAGTAAAATGCAATTGTAGAAATTTACAATACCGACCGGCGGTAAATAGAAAGTATTTTTTATCGGCGGATTGTAATAGGCCATTACAGGAATCTATAATACCGACCGGCAGTAAATATGAACTAATTCTTTTAATCGACGGATGGAAATGGCCCATTACAGTAATCTACAGTACCGACCAGCAGTAAATAGGAATTTTTTTTTATCGATGGATAGCAATGAGCCACTACAGATATCTACAATACCGTTTGGTGGTAAATGGACACTAAAACATGGATTATTATCGGCTAAAAGGAATGGATTATTTACAGTAATCTACAATACCGACCGGCGGTAAGTAGGAAATTTTTTTTAAACGACGGATGGCAATAGGCTATTACAGAAATCTACAATATTGGCCGATGTTAAATGGACACTATTGGATTAATTTTTATCGACTGATAGGAATGGACCATTGAAGAAATCTACAATACCGACCCGCGCTAAATAGAAACTATTTTTTATCGACGGATTGTAATAGGCCATTAGAGGAATCTATAATACCGACCGGCAGTAAATATGAACTAATTCTTTTAATCGACGGATGGAAATGGCCCATTACAGTAATCTACAGTACCGACCAGCAGTAAATAGGAATTTTTTTTATCGACGGATAGCAATGAGCCACTACAGATATCTACAATACCGTTTGGTGGTAAATGGACACTAAAACATGGATTATTATCGACTAAAAGGAATGGACCATTTACAGTAATCTACAATACCGACCGGCGATAAATAGGAAATTCTTTTATTGACCGATGGCAATGGACCACTACAGATATCTACAATATCGTTTGGTAGTAAATATACACTAAAACATGGATTATTATCGGCTAAAAGGAATGGACCATTTACAGTAATCTACAATATCGACCGACGGTAAGTAGGAAATTTTTTTAAAACGACGGATGGCAATGGGCTATTACAGAAATCTACAATATTGGCCGGTGGTAAATGGACACTAATGGATTAAGTTTCATTGACTGATAGGAATGGGCCATTGAAGAAATCTACAATACCGTCCAGCGGTAAATAGAAATTATTTTTTATCGACGGATGGCAATGGGCCATTACAGAAATCTACAATATCGACTGCCGGTAAACTGATGGTAAATGGCTATTATATAGAAATCTGCATTATCTACTGTATCGGACATTGTCTTTTACCATTTTTTTTATTTAAGGCTTTAAATTAAATTAGTTAAAATTTTTACTAATTCTGATTTAGAGAGTAAAATAAAATTCTTTTCTTAAATATTAGTCATTTATCATTATGTAGAAAATCATTTAAAATTATAAAATAAATGTACATTTACCTGAATCAAAAAAAAATCATTTCTCGTTTTCATATATATATATATATTCATCCAAAAGGTGTTTTCTAATAAATCAAGAAAAATCTCATTAAAGTTTATATTCTATGAAAAATGAAAGAATAATTTTTATATGTCGTGTTAATTTTGATGAATACATATATTTTGAGGGCGCAACAAAGAATGTTGGTTTTAGTCAAGAAAGGCGTGTTTGTTATTTTGATGAGATATATATATATATATATAATATGATGCTGAATTTGATTCATAGCAAGTCGCTATGCAGGGGGTTACAAACAAAACTTTGGAAGAGCCCCACAATATAATATATATATATAAAGGGGGAAGGGGGGGACCTTATATGGGAGTATTTTAGACCCCCGTAGACAGAAGACGCTACGCCCTGTCCATCACACGTCACATTTATGACTTTAAAACTTACTATGAACCACTGACTTCTATTGTCTCTCTTTCTTTATCGAATAAATTTTCTTAAATCTCTCTCACTTACTCGCCACTCGACGATATTCATCTAAGCTTTCAAAACGATTGAAGAACATATTTCAACGTTCATTTCCTAGATGATGATACATTAGTGTATCATCAGCGTGTAGTCTCATCATTATCTTCTTTTTTTCTTTTCTTTTTTTTTTTTTGAGTAATCGCGAGAGTTACAACAGTGGGGTATAATTATTTAAAACAATTCTAATAATTTGGAACTAAATGTTTTTTTCATTACTAATTTTAACTTAATTTAAGATTAAAAATTTTGAATTAAATTAATTTTCTAATTAATTAAATAATGAATTAATTAATAAATTAATTTTCTATAATTAATTAAATAATGAATTAATTTTCCAATATTTATTTTTATCTAATAATTTATTTTTTATATAATTTTTATTAAATAATAATTAAATAATTAAAAATAATTTGCTAAATAAAACAATTGCTTAAAAAAAAATAAAATTTTGTTAATTAAAAAATGAAAATTTTTTTAAAATAAATTTGAAAATACTTTTGAAAATAGAAGAAAAGTTAGGAAATATTTTTTTTGAGGAGTTACCAATTGGGTTTCATAATGGTTACACCGTTATCAAATAGATAGCGCTACTAGTTCTCAATTTAGTGATTTCTTATAGGGAGAGAATCAATTGTTTTTGAAAAAGAAATTATAAAAAAAAAATTCAGAATTATAAAAAATTTATTCAGAAAAGTTGTAAAATAAACTTAAAAATTTTGTAAAATAAAGAAAGTAAAAATTTAAAGGTTGTAAAAAAAACTTCGAAGATATTTTACAATAATCTTTGTAGGTTCTGATAACTACGAAGTCTACAACAACTATTAAGATTCTAGAATAAATTTTAAACAAATAAAGTTAAAAGAAGAAAATTTTTTAAGGTAGTAAATTTTTTTTTAAGATTGTAAAAATTATTTTAAAGTTCTGGAACAAATTTTAAAATTGTAAAACAAAGTTGAAGGTTGTAAAATAACTTGAAAAATTATTAGTAGGTTCTAGAATAACTTTAAAGGTACTCGAATAAATTTTAACATTGTAAAATAACCTTCAAAATTATTTGTAGGTCCCATAATGAATTTTAAGGTTATAAATTAATTTTTGTAGGTTTTTTAAATAACTTTGAAGGTTCTAGAAAAAGTTTTGAGGCTTTAGAATAATCTATAAAGTTTTACCACCTTAAAAAATACTTTACAACCTTGAAGGATACTTTCCCATCTTTATACATTATTTTAAAGCGTTAAAACTTGTTCTAGAACTTTCAAAATTATTCTAAAACCTACAAAGTTTAATTTACAACCTTAAAATTTATTCTGAGATCTACAAATAATTTAGAAGGTTATTTTGCAACCTTACAATTTATTCCAGAACCTTCGAAGTTATTCTCAAACCTACTAAGTTTAATTTACAACCTTCAAACTTATTCGGGAGACCTACAAATAATTTTGAAGGTTTTTTTTACAACCTTAAAATGTACTCAAGAATCTTCAAAGTTATTTTAAAACCTACTAATAAGTTTTAAAGTTATTTTACAACCTTAAACCTCTCTAATCTAGGTTCTAAAATAAATTTTAAGGTTGTAAAATAACCTTCAAAATTATTTGTAGGTCCCCGAATAAGTTTTAAGGTTGTAAATTAAACTTAGTAGGTTCTAGAATAACTATGAAGGTTCTCAAATAAATTTTAAGATTGTAAAATAACCTTCAAAATTATTTGTAGGTACCACAATGAATTTTAAGGTTGTAAATTAATTTTTGTAAATAGGTTTTTTAAATAACTTTGAAGGTTCTAGAACAAGTTTTGAGACTTTAGAATAATCTATAAAAAGTATTCAAAGTATTCTTTATGGTTGTAAAACAAACTTGAAGGTTTGAGAACAAAACTTTAGGAACGTAAAACCAACCTTAAGGTTGTAAAATAACCTTCAAACTTATTTGTAGTTCTCAGAATAAGTTTGAAGGTTCTATATAAAGCTTTAAGGTTTTTAAATTAAACTTTGTAGGTTCTAGAATAATTCTAAAGGTTCTAGAACAAGTTTTGAGACTTTAGAATAAACTATAAGATGGAAAAGTATATCCAAGATCGAAAGCATTCTTTAAGGTTGTAAAATAACATCCAACATTATATGTAGTTCAAGGTTGTTAAATAAATTAGAAGGTTCTACAACAAATTTTTAAGGTTGTAAAACAATTTTTAAGGTTGTAGAATAAATTATAAGGTTGTATAGTAAATTATAAGGTTGTAAAATATTCTTTAAGGTTGTAAAAAATAATTCAAGGCACTAGAATAAATTTAAAGGTTGTAAAATCAATTTTAAAGGTTCTAGAACAAGTTTTGAGGTTGTAAAACTTTAAAAATTATTTGATGTTCCTAGAATAATTTTAAAGGTTCTGGAATAAGTTTAAAGGTTGTAAATTAAAATTTATAGGTTCTAAAACAACTAAATA